AGGACACTTGGTTCTGGCTAATACTTTCAATGCCCCCCTTATTCAGACGTTACATAGCAATGGAAGCCATTGGAAAATGGCTAACATTACCTCATGCAGTTTTCCCAGAGGCAAACTGGTCTGACCGAGTCACTAGAACTGGTTGTGGACTTGTTTGACTGGTTTGACAGCTCTCCTGGGCCACCAGACATGACTAGAGTAGGTGACTTGTTGTTGGTAAACCGGATTGACGAGGTTATGAAACTGGTTTGACGAGGCTTACTAGTCCTGTTTGTCAAATTTGACAAAACCTGTGATTCTTGTTGTGGCGTGTTTTGTTCTTCAATTGTTTGTTGTTTTTGTTGTTGTTTATTGTTGTTGTTTGTGTGTGAATCGAGTCTAATTCTCTTAGCTTCAGGAACTGTCTCGGAGCCTGGTGGATTAGGGGGTGTCCCTGATCTCGATCGATCATCCCGATCAGTGACTGATGCAAGTAATGCAGAATTGACACCAACTGACAATCGAAGATCAGCTCCATTCTCTACATCTCCACAATCCATTGATTCACTATCATCTTCCTCTTGTTCGCCATTCATATCAACCAATGTTCGCTTGACTCCGAATTTTCCCACATCGTGAATATCGTTAAGTGATGTTTCCCCTAATTTGCCACACCAACTGACCTTTGGCCTCATAGGTGTGGTATCATTTTTAAGTTTTTCCACTTGTCTATCTGAAAAATCTTTATCTTCTCTTCTCCCAACTCCTCATTTGTTAGATTGTTTGGATTTTCGAGTGGTAAACTTGAATTCCGATCGTCAGACCTTTTGCTAGTTGGTGTGGCTATAGGTTGTTGTCTGGTGGGGAGAGAGGTGACGGTGTGAGGAGGGGAGGGGAGGGAGGGTGTGCTCGATGATCGGAGGTGGGGAGGTGGAGGAAGGGAGAGGAGAAGGGGAGAGGGGAGCAGTCGAGGAATGGCGGAGTTAGATGACGATGAGGAAGAAGAGGGAAGACTCGATGCGGTAAAGTGAGCTTCAGTTGGAGAAATGTGAGAATTCAACGAGCTTGATCTTGATACCATTACATCGTTTTTGGCGGGTGTGACATCATTGCAAAGTGAGTTTTGATCGGAGGATCTCTTAGTTTGAGGTTGTGGGGAGGGGGTGAGTGTCTCCAGGTCTGGTGATATCCGCATCGAAGGTGTTGAGTCTCGACTGGAGACGTTACTAGATGGAGCAGAGGGCGAAGGAGAGACCGATAGAGAGGGAGGGGGGGTGGGCGTCGAACCAAAAGAGGCAACGGACGACGATTGAAGACTAACGGAGGACGACTTGCGACCAAACTGTACTGGTGCAAAAGTCGTTAGTTGTGTGACTGAATTGGGAGGACATGTTGAAGTGACTTGTGTTGCGGTGCACCCGTGATTTGTTTGTGGGGTGGAGCTTGTTGCCGTGGATACCGATGAAGGGCTTGTTGCCGTGGATACTGTGGAAGGGGTGTGGTTTGTTGCGAGAGGCGGAGTCGTCTTGCTAGGCTGGGAGATTCTCCGTAGACCAGTGATGAAGTGAATCAATTTCTTAGCAACTGTTCGAACCTCTCTTGTCTGTGATGAAGGGAACACTTTTCTATGAGAGAAAGAAGAGGGAGAAGGAGAGATGAACAGACGGCATAGCAGGAAACGATCAGAGGAAATCTCAAAAGTGTAAATTTTGTGTGGAAGGTTTCTGTGTGAAATTTGTTGATAAGGACCGGAAATTGTGTTAAACTTTCCAAAATTTCTTAAAGGCACATATACCAGAAGGTTAGAGGTGTATTATATAATATAAAGACTGACTTGAGAGCGGAGAGAAACTCAGTGTTGTTGAGGAAAGTCTTCTTCCCCTTGGAGGAGCAGTGGAGGACGTACTGGGCATACAGGTCAACCAGCAGCACCAGATGATGAGTGGGCTGGGCCTCGTACGTCTGTTTCAGCCTTTTGAGAGGGAGAGAGGGAGAGATGATTTGTGACACTAAAAACTGCTGTTTAATGCAGTAAATTTGCACAAGGCCCTAAAAGGCATTGTAATGGAATTATTTATTAAGACCTGTACCAGGCTCCAAAAATTAATCTATTTGAAGCCATTTCGCAGTCAAACATGGTCTATTTAAATTTTAATTCAGTACGATAACCAGTTATCATTAAACTGTGCCGAGATGTTCCATACCATTCAATGGCGAATTCCTCGCCGGGTTGTTGTTGGTGAGGGTCAGAGCCCTGTTCCCCAGAATGGAATAGAGACTGCTCCCAACAGTAGTGACCACTGTTCTCACTCCTCCCGCGGGGGAATTCCCCTTGGCTCCTCGCCACAATCTGATTGGTCAACAGAGGAGACCCTGTTCTCGTAGCTGTCACAGAACGAATCTGATTGGTCGCCAGCGGACTCGCCACCACGCCCCTCGTACCCACGGAAACGACTCCACCCGATACGGGCAGAGTCAACGACTGAACCTGTTTCGGCTTTGCCTGTATATCGGCGAGATATTGCGCAAGACTTGCGGAATCCCCGATGAAAAACAACTTCATCTGAGCCAGCGAACTCGACGGTAGGGTCTCGATACGAAACGAGAGAAGCCAGACAAGAACGTCGACTAGTCCACAGACTATCGCGACCCTCTGGGCGACTTCTCGATGATGGTTGGTGAGGAAGTAGAGCGAGTCGAGGGTTATCATGACGAGTTCGGCGTCAGGGAGGAGGAGGGGGTGGAGGAGGCGGCGATAGACCTCGAGGGTGTGGTCAGGAGGAACGGGAGGTTGGGGAGGGTCACCGATATCTTTCCCAGGATCTCCACTCCTGAGGAACGACGAAGAGAGAGATAGTAATCACTATTCACAGAAAGATGGTATGTTGAGCTGACCTCTTTTGATGGCAAACCTGTCCTCAGACAGGAGACAGTGGTGCAGTGAGGTCATGAAGACATTGGCAACTGACCACTCCCCCTCGTCTCCCTCGTCCTCCTCCTCTTCTTCATCACCACATAGCTTCAACTGAAACATGACATCACAACTCATTGAGATTTCTGTTTCACTATAGTATGTAATAGAGTGAAACATCTGAAAATGGACACTCCAAATAGAGCACACTTCTCTGTCATAGACACTAGCTAGTATTACTACCAAGGAACATCTGTATGATACATATAACTGAGACTGAAAGTGAAGGGATTGACTTACAGAAGAGGCCAGGTTGGTGAGACAGTCGAGGGACGCTACACGAACTGACGGGAGATCACAAGACATCCCCAGAGTCAGAAACCTACCAAAAACAGAGCAACAATAATTACTAGAAGAAGACGAACAAAACTCCCTATCATAGCCCCACACATCTATGATGCTAGGTACCATGTCAATCCCTATATACTAAGTACTACAATACTTAGTGATACAAAGGGAGAGAAGGTACATACATACATACAGGCAGTAGACAATCTCAGTATAGAATTGTGTTCTTCAACATGTTTGTAAAGCGATGCTGAAGGGCCAAAAATCCATTGGACTTTGTTAAATGATGGATTTCTACGATGTGCTGTGGTGAGATTCAAACAGACAGAGAAATATAACCTCAAAACTCCTGAGTGCCGGGCCAGTGTCTCAACAGCAGAGTCACTAGTAGAGAGATTGCTCAGAACGGTGGCTACCTGCGCTACTCTCAGTCCCTCCACCCCTTCCTCCTCTCCCTCCCTCTCCCCCTCTCCCTGTCTCTGTGAGTGCTCCACAGCTCCACAGCGCAGCAGTAGAGATCCTCTGTTGAACAAGACACACTCATACAGACCTGCAGAGAGGAAACGGAAATTTTGGGGCAAATTTAAAATGGGGAACTTCTGTAACTTCAAGGTTTTTTTTGCTAGGCTTACTCTTTTTGATGGAGGATTTCAAGATGGCAGAGTAGGTCCATTCCGGTACTGCCAGCTCCCAGAACTGAATGGAGACAGGACATCAACTTTAGCACCCACACCACCTCTCTCAATCTGTATAGCGTATCTCTTACTGTAAGGAAATCCAGTTCACTGTTGGGATACCAGGACTCCCTATACATTTCCTCCAGTCCAGGATCATCTGGAACAGATCATTCAATTGTATTAAAGTTTTATATATAATAGGCACACATAGTGTATATGGTTCTGTACCATTGCTGAAGATAGCCACGTGAGCTAGGATAATATCCAGCAGAGAAGGAGTCTGCAGAAAACGAGAAAGATGATTTGTACACTCTTTTCTCGAATTTTTTCCCAGTGCACCTTGTGAACAGAGAGGGAGTTGGAGTGGGAGAGGATGAGGAGGATGTTGAATGCAAAGTCCAGTTCATTAGGTAGACCACTGAGGAGGGAACGAGTCAGTCTAGTCATTGCTAGGTCAGTTTCTGGGAGAGAGAGAGAGAGAGAGAGAAAGTGTAAATCTATTTGCAGCACAGTGCGATGAGCTAATGCAACATAATGTGAACACGGCTAAGTTGCATATACAGTATGAATGCATGCAGTATCTAGAGCCTTTAATATTCAGGAAAGGAGTGAAAATGTACGCACCACTAGGCGTCACTTGAACGGGAAGACTTGAAGACATCGCTGCAGGTTTCCGGAGTGGTGCGAGAGGTTTAGTGAAGGTGGGGAGAGAGGGGAGAATGGGGAGGGAGGGGAGGGAGGGGGAGGGGGAGGGTTGATACACGTCGTAATCCAACACAAGGCCGTTCTCAACTGCCTCAAACTGTTCCAATAACCTGCACAGTAGACGGATATACAGTGGAAAAATCCAGTTCCGAAACTAGAGAATGTTAACAAAATTCATAGTCCTTTCAACCACCAACCATAAAAGGCAATATTTTGTACATAATGTAGACATACATCGTAGTCATATAATTTCTGACATTATGGAGACATGTACATCTGCAGTACATACAATATTCACGAGTATATTTTACCAGAGGCAGTGTAATTTTGAGCTAAGAAAACACTACATACACCAGTGATAGTATGTGGTTATAGGTGAGATTGGAGTCTTACTTGATGAAATGGTTCCGAATGGCGTACGAGGCGCTAGTCACAGTGGAGGGAAGGTTGAAGGTTCGAGCAATCTCACCCCACATTCTTACCCTCGTCACCTGGCAACAACACAACACAAACAACACTGTAAACAACAACAAATTAGTTTACATATCTACGCAAAGTACAACAACAAAAAAGAAATAGACTAAAGAACCAGTATAGAATGAGCATAATTATATACAAGGTGTGTACTCAATTAGTAGTGGTAGCAATTGAGACATGTGTTCCATAGAATGAAACCAGAGATGACTGTATGTAATGGTGGGTGTACATACACACAGTGTTAGGCCACTTAGAGCTGCATAATAGGGCACTACAAACACACACAACCAACAGACAAAATACACGCGTGTCTCTACAGCCTTATGCTACTATATATAGCACCATACGTAGTGTGAAACAAGAGTGTGTTATATACTCCAGCAGACCTTTTCCGAGCCGCCCCTCTTTTCAACCTCCTGGTAGAGATGGTAGATGTTGAGTTCCCTGCCTCCTAACATTGGGAGTCTCTTTAGAGGTGTCCTGTGAGGGTGTGGAGTGGGTGGTTAGTAGCTAGGAATAGAGGGTTAGTTTAGTTTCAGTGGCTAGTGAAGCTAGGAACCACACAATATAAATAAACACATGTGTGTACAAAACTGGATTACTTGTATAAAGGAGATCTCTCTAGAACGAATTAGGCTCGTTTTTCTGTCCATTCTACTCAGCCCTCTATGTATGTCACCAAAATTTCAGCAGGACAAACTTACTAAACGTTCCCTTCCCGCCCTCCCTCCCGCAAATCCTGACGTCACCACGTGCAATAAAACGCGGCGAGCGAGCAGCGAGCAATCATTTCGCTCTCTCTCTCGCTCCCTCTCCCCCCCTCTTACCCGCGTCGCTCGTGGAAACGAAAGACTTTCTCCACGAACTCCGCGCGGCGCTTCTTGTAGTCTTCCGTGTCACAATCTTCCCCCTCCATGACGCGGGCCTTTCCCGGGAAGACGCCGGAGCCGGCTCTAGCGGCTGTCTCGTGGCGAGCGGTGCAGGGAGAAAGATGTGGTTTAGCGAGAGGTGGCCTCTGGAGAGGAATTTTCGGCTCTCTCCTCGTGCCCTCCCGCCATTTGCAGTTGGACGATAAAAAATGGCGGCCGTTTCTTGGCCTGCCCGGGCGCGCGCCCCGCACCACGCGCATGCGTACATTCAATTGCCGCCCATTTTTTTAAACCGGACAAAAGTCACAGAAAGCTTAAAAAATTGACAAGACAGCAGTGACATTTTAAAAATAAAATGTAGATGATGGCAGATAGTTTAACAGTTCAGTTGAGCAGAGCTTTGCTATAAAAGCGAAAGAAATTATTGGTCAAAAACTGAGTCATTGCTAGCGTTGGTCGACATTAGAGTAAGGGTTTTCAATAGTTCCATTGGAGGGAGTGGGATGACAGTAATCAGCTGGAATGGCCTTTGGGGGTGTGGTCTCCAGGGGAACGTTGGTGGGAACGGCGTACGTGTCTAGGGCTTCATAGACATGTGTTTCAGGACATGCTGTAGAGAGATAGATCAGGACAAATTATGGGGGTGTCCTAATGTGGGGGGAGGTGTCCTGAACTCACTGGGAACATCGAGATCATAGACTGGGTTATCAGCGACTGTAAAATCGAGATCCTTTGCAAAGGCTTTGCCAGATCCGTTCTCCATTGGCAGGTCGGGTGGAGGCAGCACTGTTGAACGCCACACACTCATCACATTACCATTATCTTACTAATTTACCGTTTTTTGAATGTAGTTGATTTATGATACTATGTGTGTATACTTCTAGACTGCGGATCATAAATTCTGTCACATCGCACATTAATACCAAATGCACGCCACGTTTTAAAAATTAAAATGGGCTATATATTATGAGGGTGCAGAAAAAGAGCTTACATGATCTCTTGCTCTTCCGGCGCCAATAAAGGGTAACAATCACCACGGCAACAATCAGGATGAGGATCAACAGCACGGCAACAGGTACCGCCCACTTCACATACCCCATGACATCATCACCTGAACACGTCATAATATATACAAAAATCTCAGTGTGCTAACTAGAATAAAAAGGAACACCATTATAAAGGGAACTTTCAACATCGCAAAAGGTGACCCTTATTAAGAGGTCAATTCAATGTACTGTACTAACATAGTATTTTCACAAACCTTCGTTGTTGGAAGTGAGTCCTTCCACCTGTACATCGACAGGAACGAGGCAGTTGTGGTCGGTGTAGCCAGGTGGACAGAGACAGGAGTAGTCGTTGAACTCCTCCACACACGTTCCTCCGTTCTGACACGGGTCACCGCGGCATGGGAACAGGCTTATCTCGCAGTTCTCACCCTAAAACACACACGACAGATTAGAACAATGACATTTTAGTGCAGTGTATATACCCTCGCCACGGAACTGTAGCCACACATTATGGATTTTTCCTAAGAAAAATCTCCCTTCAAAGCCAAGGGGATGTAGTGAATGTAACAATATGAACAGCTATGTCGTTGAGTTTTGTGTCCCCTCACTGATAGATTAAAGACTGTGTTTACGAAACTCACAGCAAATCCGTCGGCACAGTTACAGGAGTAGCTGTTGACGAGGTCGCGGCATGACCCACCGTTGAGACACGGACTAGAGAGACATTCATTGAGCTCATATTGACAGTGGGGACCATAGTAACCATCGGCACATGAACAGTTGAACGAACCAATCAGATCCTGCGCAGAGGAACAATAGCTGGGTCAACAGGTTGACATTACTGACAATTAAAGTGAAGGGTTATGAATATGATTGGCATATTGTTGTTTAATGATGGGTAAAAAGCTTACAGTGCAGTTGGCTTCGTTCTGACAAGGATTTGATGCACATTCGTTGACTTCCACTCCGCAATCCTCTCCTTCCCACCCTCTCGGACACACACAGTCGTAGCCGTTCACCTCGTCCTATAGGACAACACATCGATAAAGTCTGTCCCGAACCGAGGATGTCAGGACGACTCACGTAACAAGTTCCTCCGTTCTGGCACGGAACGGGGACCACAGTCGTCAATATCGATCTGGCATCGGTCTCCAGTCCATCCCATGCTACAGTTGCACTCATATCCTCCAAGGTAATCCTGCATGGTGTATAAGAAACGGTGCTGATTAGTTGGAAAAGGAATCTTTTGCAAATCTCTGTGGTGTATGGTAATAAAAAATAAAACTTCTCAATAAAGGACATTTTCGATGTTCCTAAGGTGTCCTTTACTCAGAGGTAACTTTACTCCCCTCATCATTAGCCCCTTTTCTTTCTTTCTTTATTTCTCTCTCTCCCTCTCCTTCTCTTTCACTCCCAGGTAATTAGCTAACCTGGCATATTCCTCCGTTCTCACAGGGGTACGGTGTGCAGTCGTCATGGTCACGATCACAGAGTGCTCCGTCGTAGCCACCAGTACACAGACATACAAACCCATTGGGGAGGTCCTGAGGAGGAATGGGGTTAATGGGGTAGGGTAGAGGTAGTGAGTTTTTGGGAGTAATAGGGTTTTAATGAATGACATGAAGGCATGAATGGGGAGAAAGAGAAAGAGGGTGAGGGGAGAGAAAAGGAACACTCACCACACACTGAGCGTCGTTTTGGCAAGGATTAGACAAACACTCGTCTCTGGAATTAAAAAACAGTCGGAGATTAGTAGTAAAAAACAGAGGTGTGAAGACAGCGTTGAGACTAACACGTCAATGTGGCAGAATTCTCCGTCGAAACCATCGGGGACACTGGCAGATGAAACCACCAACCTGATCCTGGGGAACAGAAGAATAGAGATGTAACTAACCACAATACTCAGTATATACAAGAGAAGTAAACCCAGTTGAAGTGGTTTAAACCTTTTACGCACATGCCTAGGTTTACAAACCTGATATGCTTATTAATGTTGGTGAGCTATGTGTTGTGTTGTGTACTCACGATGCAGGTGGACCCATTGTAGCAAGGGTTGGGGTCACATTCGTCTATCTCGTGCTCACAAGCAGGACCAGAGTACCCCACCGGACAGTGGCATATGTAACCACCGACGCCATCATTGGAGCAGAGCACCCCCTGAGAACAGGGGCTTCCCCTCTGACACGGAATCAGGTCTGGACACATGGGAATGGAGGTATGGAAACATGAGAATGAAACACGTGAGAAACATGAAAGTATTAGTGCTAACGTGAAAGTATGTGGATAAAAGAGTAGAGATGAAAAAACATTTACCAATTTCACAGTTGGCACCAGAATAACCATCTCTGCAGATACACTCTCCAGGGACATTGCAGTACCCACCAAGTTCCGCTAAATAGGAAGAAACATTTCAGGACAAGATGAACTGAAGGTGTCCTGAAGTAGTAGGACACACTCACAGCAGCCCGTGGCAGGCTGGCATTGTTGACATCCCCTGCCGCTCCAGCCCGGGCGACAGAGACACTGGTTTGGAGAGTTGCAGTATCCTCCTCTACTGTGGCAGTTCCTGGCACACACAGCTGCAGAGAGAGAGAGAGAGAGAGAGAGAGGGAGGGAGTAAGAAAGGGTAGAGAAGGAAAATGGAAAGCAGAGAAGGGGGGAGTATAGGGATCCTTTGATCATGGGGTGCTAGTCATGTTATATGCCAATGAAGAAAGATCTAGGCATTACATTGGGGGTGTCAATATTTGCAAATTTGCACTCAATGGAGGCTAAAATTGCACGGGAACTTTGGTAAACCTTAAAGTGCTGGACTTGAAAATTGCAAAATATTGTCACAGTTGCCCTGGTGTATGCACTCAACCAAACTCCAGCTACTCACGAGTGAGGCAGTTATTGTTGGGGTCCGACCAGCCAGAGAGACAGGTCTTGGCCCCAGTGAGGTAGTGACAGTAGTAGTGCCCCTCGCCATCGTTCCTCCCCTCGCAGTACGTGGCGCAGGACTGACCGTAGAAGTTTTGGTTGCAGGCGAGTTCAAAGGAGAAGGCCATACGAGAGTTGCCACGGTGACCTACGTATTCTGTCTGTGGTGGGTGGGAGAGGAGGAAGAGAATTTGAGAGCTGGTCTTCCCAATTCCGTCTAAGTACTAAATGGCTGTGGTATTTTTAATTGACATTAGCTTCACAACTTAGCGATGCAGGAATGTGGTGTAATTCACAGCGTACCATTGCAAATTCAGAACCCTGCCAACCATGCCTTAACACCACTTGATCTACTGCCAAACTACCTTCTCAGGGCTACATATCCATGGCAACCACATAACAAGTCCCAAAAATGCCATGACAACAAAGAAGAGTACCGTAACACTGGGAAATGCAACTAAAGACAATGTTGGAATCTTGCGGCAAATATCTGGAAATCTTACAATTCTTATAATAAACCGCCCACATAAACTGTTGTTTAGCTAACAGAAAGACACAGTGATGTAATGATGATATCATTGCTGATTTCTTAGCCAGAAAACGATGCATCACTTCTTAGCTAAGAAGTTAAAATAATATACTCATTACATCATTAGTAATGATGTAATGATGACATCATTGCTTACCTCAGAGATGGCGCCCCCAGGGCTGAGGTTGTGTTCGGCGTATACGTCGTCCACGTGATCGTCTGAACTGCTATCATCTTCGTCGTAGATTGACACTAGGAGCTGGAAACCTCCCTAATATCAGAGGAGAGAAGAGGGGAGGGGACAAATTGACGGGCTTACACACTTACTAATGAAGAGTTGACTGTGAACTCACAAAACTAGCTAACCTGCATAAAAATAAGGCTAAATATACCTATTACCTTCTTTCAAAGATACATGATGCACGGTATCTGCTGGCCGATGTGGTCTGTTGTTGAAGGTCTCATAGAAGCACTATTCTAGAATATCTTCTTGCAGTTGGCTCTGAAACTGCCCTCGGACAATGATAGTGATCTCAGATATTGTCGCATCCTAACCCCCCACTTATCTACTGAGGCACGAGCCAAAACCGAACGACATCTTCCGTTCTGCTGAGCCAATACATTACTCTATACCTCCCAGTCTCCTTGGCTACTGATGCACCGGCCTTCATTCCTGACTTCTGACATCACTATATACAAGACCTGATACTATGTAATGCTGTGGGGACCACACCCATATGAGCTAGCTATAGCCTACTTTGGGTGTGACTTACATTGATACCTGATATAGCAAGTTAACACATGAGAACATGTAGTATTTACTACCAACAGCAAATCACTGTAGTTTCCTTGTGGCTTTCTCATGCTTACAGGAAACCTGGTGTCTGTGGTCTCCAGAGCTAGCTAGCTTGCCTTTAAATGGAGCCACAGTGTTTTTGATGCTGCTACAGCTATTGCAATCGGACTGTCACTGGAAGTGTATGCAGACTTAGAAACCCCTAACTGCCTCTGGAGACTGACGTAAGCATGTACCACTTCCTCTGTAAACATTCAACCCTGCATCGCTCAAGTTTAATATCCTTTCAACACACACACCCCTTCCCTTATCGTAGTAACAGAGTTTAAGATTTTTAAGCTGAAACACTGTAATTTGACCTAATGTGGGCTACAATCAATACATCTCTTACCGTCCATATGTCACCTCTGAAGATCATCGGATTGGACACCCCGCTGCCAATATGGGTCGACCCAAAAGAGAAACTGTCGTCCCCGATCTCTCCGGTCCGGTGCGACCCGAGAGGGCAGCTGTTTTCGTTGCCATCACGACTGACGCCGTGGAAACGCAGGCAAAACTTGAATTGGTTGTCGCATTCGCAGTGAGAGCACCACCAGGGGTCACAGTCGCTGCGTCCAGACTTGTCACAACAAGTGCCGTCGGACAACTTATGGCCATTGTTATTGTACCAATGAGCTTTAACTCTGAGCTCGTACGAAGACTCCACACTCTGAAAGAGAAATTGCAATTATAATGTGACATGAAAACAGGTCTACTGCGAAAGGAAGTGTGGAAAAAACAAACAGCAGAGCGACAGTCAAAACCAAGAATGATTTGCTTGAGCATGATGAAAATAGTGTCAGGTTTATTTCTCTGGAGCATGCCAGACCTCATAACACACGCCTGCTATTCACCTAAACTGACGTGGAAATACTACTGCATGGGATGTGATACTCTTATGTTTGTAAGTAGGAGTGTTGCGTCTTGCGTGTGTAATGCAAACCACACCGCATGCGCACGCAGATAGCTTCGCAGCTACTGACATCGGGTTAGCAGTATCGGACGGTTTTCTGACTATATATACACCGCAGTGCTTTACCCTTACGGTGCTGACGTTGGCTCCGCGCTTGCACATTATTTTTGTCCGTGCAATAAAGCTGCATTAGCTGCACTTACCAGATGAAGAGAAGCGAGCACTAACGCGGAAAGTGCCGCAGTCTGCACGGAGCACCACCAGCCCTGCATGACGAATCTCCTGCGCACTGCACCACTAAAGACGATCTCTCTCTCCTGCGAATCCCTGCTAGGCCGTAGGCTGAGCTGCCGATTAGTGACGAATTGAGCTGTTTATAAGCATGCTGCTGAGCGAGCTCGAGCACCACACCGTACCGCGCCCAAGCTGTTTACGCATGCGCAGAGGCTTAGTGCGGTCCGATGCAGTGCTTCATGATCAACGAGATAATTTTTGGAACAAAATATATCCACAATTATAGAGTAAATATATCATTTCTAATTTTATCCTATTTCTGGTCAGTCTCAGTCCAGCTTTGCCCGTTTCAATGGTGGACACTCGCCAACGAGAGGGTGTGGCATTGCCAGGCAACGGGTCATGGGCGTGGCAGCTGGAATGGAGCCAGAAAGTGTTGGGAGACAAGTTGTTCTGGGAGTGAGGGGGGCAAATGTGGGGGTCGTGTTCGGTAGTAGAATCTGGCGGGCCACAAATTGGGGGGACGGGGTAGTGATGAGTGCCCTGGGGGTCACAAATCCAAGGGAACCGCAGCTTGTGGGGGGAACAGGTAGGGGTAAAATTTGGGTAGAGAGAGGCTGGGGAAACAATGGTAGAGGAGGGAGTTTGAAATCACCATCACTTGGCTTTTTTGTGGAGTTCGTCTCTACAGTTGCAGTGATGGGCACTAGACATTTCGGGTTGAGAGGAACAGAAAATGGTCTGTTCACGGAGGGCAAGGGTGGGGAGGAGGCAGTTGCCGGGGGTTTCCTGGCAGTTGTCCCGGGCAACGGTTGGCGGGTGAGAAGATGCGATAGGAGAGAGATGGGTTGGGTGGACGATGTCGCACCAGGTGGGTGTCCAGAGAGTTTAGCTACAAGTCGCGGGTCACGGAGCAGGCTCTCAGCCTCTCTCGACTGCACCGCTAGAGCTGCGATGAAATCATCGACACGAACAAACGACTGCAGGCGTCCGTGTGCCGGTTTCTGCGGAGACTGCAGCGTGCCCTTTGTGAACCCTAATATTGTAGCACGTGATGCATTTCCCTCCAATTCTTCATGCAGCTGAGTTTGGTTTGTAAAATGTCGATTTCCCTCCGTAGTAAGTGGGTTTGTTTGCGGTGCGTGGGAAGGAGAATCTTGCCGGTTTCTGATGCATGTTGCACTAACAGTAGCCTCTGGTGGCAAGGAAGTCGCGGAATCCTTGGAACCACCACCAGTTGTAGAGTCTTCACTTTGAGCACAGCATGCAGAGTCACTGCTTTGAAGGCTGCTGTTGTTAGTACCACGTGAGTGGGTGGTGACTTGATTGGTCAGCAGACGCTCATTTCTGGCCTGTTTAGGAACCGGAGGATGCGAGACAGATGTCGAAGAAGGTATGCAGAGAAATGAAAGCGTGATCCTCAATAGTAGCAAAACATGAGGAAATTGGATCGGAATGTTGTTGTTCTTGATCACCGGATGTCGAAAATGAAGCCCGTGAGTCATCGTCAATCATAACTTTCCCAGATTTGCTGGCACATGGCTGTGTTTGTTGTTTCCCTGCACTTTTAGGTTGCCTGTGTTGGTTTTCTGGTTTATTGACCACATCAGAGCGATGATGCTGTTGCGAAACATTGGTGATGTCGTCGAGTGATGTCATCAAAGCCCCGCCCACTAGGGAATCCCCCAGACCGCTGTCATCATCCTGCCGAAACGAATGTGACTGTTTGTGTAGTGGCAAGGAAACGTCACAATCGTTTCTCTCCGGATAAGACCCAGCCATAGGAGTTGACGGGCGGCTCGTGGTGGAGCGATTTTTCGGAGGGTTCGTAGGTTTTCGAGGGGTCGAGAAAGTGAGGGGGTCAGAGAAATTTGAGAGGAGAGGGGGGTTTTGGGAAAATCGACCGTCCACTGGAGCTAGCAGGCTGTTCTTGTGAGACGTGATACTGGAGTAGAAAATCTTGAAACACCACTGCTAGTGCTATGACGTCAAGGATTTTTGAAGTGACGCCTTTTTAAAGATAATAGGCTTTGTTTGGTAGTTAGTAGGGACTAAATAAAGAACGACCAAAACCCAAAAAATAGGGAGAGAGAGAGAAAAGATAAGGGAGGGGTGTAATTAGTACGGGTAGAAAGGATATCATTTGGAAAACGATGTGACTTTCTCAATATCTCCTTCTCGAACTCCTTCACCTCCGCGGCAAACTCTTCTCTGGAACAATGAACTGTGGGACCTGTGGGTCCAACGTGAGATGCTTTTCATAGCTACTCTATAGCAGAGTATAATAAACTTTTAGAACCAACTGTTTACATTTCAGTGACATCATTTGTGATAGTGCTACACAGACTCACCAGGGCTGGTCCATATTCCACCAAAGTGTCTGTCGCTAGTCTTAGCTCCGCCCACTTTCCTCCCGTGGCCACACCCACCAGCCAATGCCTTAGCTGAACTCTGACCTCCGAATGAGAGACTTCGCCTAATGCTCCCTCCCCCTCCACCACGGCCCCTCGAGAAATTTCCCAGCACGCGACCCCCCCAGATTTCTTGTGCCCACTGGAGCTGCCTTACATGGAGTACTGGGAGCTGAGTTGGAGTCTGTGACAAAAAACATGGACAGAGATTTTTTTGTCAGCACAATTTTATCCCTTAAATTTCATGCTTCCGAAACAGACATATTTTAACCCCCGAAATTTTTTTTGTACATGTACAAGGAGATAAGAGAGGGGGAGGGGCTGACCTTTGACCTCATACTGATGGAGAAACGGCCGACTACCAAAAGACTGTCTCCTCACTAGCGAAGTTCCTCTCATCTTCTTCGACAGGTCACCAGCAGTGGTGGTTGGTTGGTACATCTTCCTACACACAGCTGTAATAGAGTAAGAGAAAGTTTCTCACTGCATTAGGATTTGTCGACTTTTTCGTACTTAAAAATGGGCAACTCCTGCTTTAAAAGAAAGCATGAGTCTTTTGTAAGTTTTTTACAGTTTCACTGCACATACTGGGCTGAATCACCAAAATTGCCAATATCATTTTTCACAAATAAAAAAACAACTGATTTTTACTCCACCCCCTCTCTCTATTCATCTTCCTCTCAACAATACTGCATCTCTCGGATATCTCGCACTGACTCACAGACGCTGTCAATCTCCTCCATGGTGGGGCCACACCAGACGTAGCCAGGCATCTTGCGATGGTTGCGAGCCATGAATGTCTTCTTCCTTATTAGGTCGAGTGTCGTCAGGACATTGGCTATGTCGTAGAGTCTCCTCACCTTCGCTGCAGAGAGAGAGAGAGAGAGAGAGGAGAGAGAGAGATAGAGAGAATCATCACAATGGACAGCTGCGTTATACACTTACTTTTAGAGCTACTGACTGAAGAGTCTTCATCGGCATCAGAATACTGCCTGCCTTGTCCAGCGTTAGCTCATGTTTCTAGAGATCAAAACGGAAAATTAAAGAAAAATAATTAGAGAGAGAGAAAGACAGAGTGACAAATATTTTAAGTATATGTGTAAGAGTATGGTTGGTAAAAGGGAGGATTACTGGGAACAATATACTTCCAGAAGGGACGGTGGGTAGCCATGCAACACTCACTGGTGCAATGAGAAAAAGCATGAGAAACTTCTGACACAGAACTCCAAGACTCTTATCCCATCTACCTCCTCTGGCGGGGCCGTCTGCAGGGGGAAATAACAAACAAATTTTAGCCAGAAAAAGGACAGGAGGAAAGCGTCCACATAATCCTTATTAAGAAAAAGTTCTTTGAAAAAAGAGTGTCTTGAAGTTAATACTGAATTTTCCCCAAAGAGTAAAAATGCTCACGCCCCTGACTCACCGTCACATGATACAGCATCATCAGGGATACTGTCTTGACTACTCTCGTCCATCACTGACGAACTCTGACCCTGTTGCCTGGCAACAGACACAGTGGGTGGGACTAGATTTTCCTTGTCTCCTCCACTCCCAGTGCCACTGTTGGTACCAGTAAACCAGTGGAGAAGGTCGGCATCATCTGCTGCCATGGCCTGGAACATTCACACAATTGTGGACAATTAAATGGTTTTCTGTCTACAGTGATATAATATGAGATTCCCCACTGTTATGGCAGTATAAACTAACATACTCGTCCTATTTCAGCATGCATCATACATAGTGCACACATTAAATTTACACCACATTATTATTATGTATGCTGCCTACCCCAAGTCATCAGAGATTGAGACTGAAACATAACCATGTAATAGCAAACAGGATATCAAATCTACTAGCGACTGATGCACTACTATAACAGGAAACAGGAAACACTATATATAGAAACAGGAACCACTACTATATTATATAGAACAGGAACGTGGGAAAACTATGACATCACACTGCCGTAGTCTGTCACCTTCAGTTTGGCCAGGGTGTGAAGGAGCTCCCCGCGGCCTTTCCAGGAATACTGGTTCTTCGACTGCTTCACTATCATCTCCACCGCCTCGAGGACGTTGATGATGTCATAAATACGTCGTCTGTTTGTCCCTGTAGCCGTGGAAACAGACAGGGGCCACACTTAAAGTGCGTAGCATTCCTAGTACTGTATTGTGTGGTCATTTCCTGAGTATCGTGTACATATTATATGTATGAAGGCATACCGAGTTTCAATGCCATCGTGTCCAGACTGAACTCATTCCCAGTTCCCACGCTGCTCTCCACAATACCCAGGAACCTGGGAACAAAGGAATGGGAATCAACACTTCAGAACTTTTTCACTTACTTCTTGCAGAGGAGTGAGAGAGACTTCATTTTCCTGCCCGCCGTTCCCCCCTCCTCGTCTCCCACCAATCCACACACCTCACTCCCTAGCACACCCTCCCCCCTCTCCCTCCTCACCCCTTCCCTCTCTGCCCTCCATCGCAGAGCTAGCTTCAGCCAGAACCTTCAGATTCGCCAGCGGTGTCAACGGAGCCACTACGACAACAGGACAACTGTAAACCCGTCCTGAAGTTTAGGACAGCTCAGAACTAGCTTCTAAGTTGGTTCTCTAACACCCCTGAATTACAGGACAGCATCTAGTTCTGTCCTGAAATTCAGGACGCAGAGAAGAGAGAGACAGTGGCCTGACCTTGACTGGTCTGCAATCCTCGCTGTGGGGTCAAAGGTGTCATATTGCTGCTCCCGTTGCCAGCGGCAACATCCGTCTGACCGGTTTGAAACTGGTCAGACGAGTTCAGTGCTGACTGGATGAGGTCATGCAGATTTCCAAGTAAGAGTGGGGCTTCTACATGGGAGTAAATCAGACCAATGCTCACATGTAACATATAGTCAGTCAAGGTGGCAAGTTTTCAGGTTTTCAGCAAATTGTACCACTCCAAAAATACTATAGTGCCCTAGTTACCGTGTGAGGTGCCAGAGGTGGAGGCCAGTGGCTCACTCATCCTGGGCGACCGCTGAGCAACATAAAAAAAAAACAGAGTTAGAACAAATATTGACACTTTTTCGGACTATAAACCGAGTTTTAGAGGGTCGTTTTAGCAGAGAGCAGGGGTGCTAGAAGGAAGAGAGATAGGAGGGCTGGTCTGACCGTTTTTAGGACTCTGCCTGTCTTAGCGGCGGCAGAAACTGCCTCTAAAGCGACCTTCTTCCTTCAATTCCCAGCTCTTCTCGGTTCCCGCGCAATAAGGGACGCGCCAAATTTTCAACCGCTCGCTGGCCGCCGACCAATCAGATCTCGCCGTTGGAAGGTGGGCGTGGCTGGCTCCGTTCACCTCCGTAATCTTTTGACGATTCCGGATACTCTTTGAGGCCCTTTCAACGCCCACGTGGCCTTGTTTTGTGGTTTGTTGCACTTTTCTCCTACACAACACCGCATCGAAGAAAGTCCGTTCGTTTTGCTGCTGAGTGAGGAAGAAGTAAAGCAGGTAAAATAACGCCAGCTTTATAAAGCAAAGCTGTTGGTGCGCATTATTTAGAGAATCGTTTCTTGCAGGAGCAGGGGTAATGGCTGCTGGAGGTTGGGTGCCGTTCAAGGAGCTGAGTCACGTGATCCGCTGGGCCCTCTCTCACCCGGAGCGAGAGGCCTATTTCTCACTTGAGGAAGCTCTGAAGAAACATCGTCCGGACTTCACCAACCTTCTTGAGAACCCAGTGAGTGAGGGGGCAGAAGAGAATGGGAGAGAAAGTCAAATAATTATTGTAAAAGTTGCCAGATGATGAGCAAAAAGCTGTATGACACATTTGTGATTATACAATCTCAAAACACTCTAATTTTTTACTGATGGCAACATAAAAGCGTGCATCTGCATAAAATACATTCACTTGCTCTTCCACTCTTGCGTATCAGTGGCAAATGAAATTCTCACATTATGTGTGAAAGTTTTACTTTCTGCTAGTGTGCTGTACTATTTCTCCCAGTATGATACCCGTTCCTTTTTTCTCTCACATTCTGTTCCCTCTTCCCCTGCCCCTCCCACCAAGGCTAAAAACCTATCCCACAGGCAGAGGGTGCAGAAAGCTCCCCAGAGCGGTCTGGCCATCCCTGGCCTCTCGGGATCTCCCACTCTGCCCGAGGACTTTGTCGAAGAGGCGCTACTCCTCAGCGACATTCTGCAACTCAACGAGATTTCATCAGTCGAACTGTTGCTGGCTGGAGAGCAGCACATGCCAAGGTACTTAATACTGTATCATCAAATTTCCGCAGAGCAGAACGTTTTCATAACAAAAATTTTCGTGAATTTCAAAGATATTTGTGTGAATGTATTTTGTCGAGCGTTTGCTACCAGTATGAACGTAATGAATGATTGACAAGTCAGATGAAGGTAATGTGTTTCATTCCTGTACCTGGTTCCGGTTGTGTCAGGTTCCCGGGTCTGACGCGAGGACTGGTGGCTGTACTGCTCTACCACGATGGCCGACACTGTCTCCTCTCCTCCCTACGGAGTCTTCTTCAAGCCAGAGAGGGCGTGGCCTGGACACTAGGTAACTCCCCACTTTTTCTTTTGGGAATCCAGTTTTTTCTCACGTCAAGAAATGTACATTTATGTATACATGTTTTACTATATTTGGGTATAATTGACAATTTACGTCGTGAAATTTCAAGTTTAACCACTGTAGGGTTGCCCCCGGCAACGCATCAGCTGGTGACGTCGTTCACAGATCAACTGATAAGCGACGGTCTAGTGACGCGGATTCTGAGTCTCCTGGACTCTCTCAGTGTCAAGGGAGAGCTGGCAGCGCTCGAGAAAGGACGAGCCGTAGGCCCTGCCCACCATCGACGGCAGATTGAGGAGCTGGTTCGAGATCAGCGGGCGTGTCTCGCTGACTGTCTGTTCGTCTGGGCGGTCCAGACTCCGCCCGGGAAAGACCACACCCTACAGATTATCAAACACTTGAAAAAAGTCAAAGTCGACAGTGGGAAATCAGTTGTTGCTGCCGGTAGCGACAGCGGGGGTCAAAGTTTACCAGACATTACCAAGGTTACGGTCGACATGGTGACGGTGTCTCTGTGCATGACGGTGATGTCGTGTTTTAACATTGGGGAGGAGAGTGGAGACCAGAGCGATGAATCCTCCCTGGGTGACCAGTACCCTCTACTGGCAGACGCTACTTTCCTTCCTTCCGTTCATGCCGAGCTAACTAGTGTGAGACATTGGTATAGTGGAACCCCTCTAATTGTCCATATTAGTGAGGTGTCCTCATTTCAGGGGTTGAACACAATTTCTTTGGGGAATGTGCCCTTATTAAAGAGAAGTCTTTCCACACTGTTTGAACAATGGAACCTCTTATTATGGACAAAGGACGCCTCTATTAATGGCACCTAGTTTCGATCTAGTTCTATTAAAATTGCCTTGTTGTTTGTGTGTTGCCAGGGAGACGAGTGGGGGTGTGGTTGGCTGTGTGCGGTGGTCAAACTGGCTTGGGCAGTTCTTCTGCGAGAATGCTCCACTCACAATACCTTTGCTGGTGAGCCAGTGAGCTTGTAGGCAAAACATTTAGCAGAAGAATATCTGCTCTCTGCAGGGGTAGAAGAAGTTCAAGACGACGAGGGTTTGCTGGACGAAGCTGTGAGGGGCGGAGTCTTTGCGTTCCTACGGCGATGTGTCCAGACTCCAAACTTTCACGAAGAGGTTAGTGAAAAAGTATGAATTCTGATTTGGTAATTTTCTCCTTTTTTTTCCAGGAATACTATCTGAAAAAGCTTCATTGGCTGCTGACAAGCATGATTATCAACATGCCGTTGAAAGTGAAATTTTTGACTCATATTTTTATGTAAGTGAACGTAATTGTTTACTAGATGAGGGAGCTTCGTAACTATGGTGACGAGGTTGCCAGGGAGATCACCAGTAGAGGAGGGGTCGAGGGTTCGTTGTCACAGGAACGTTTCTTTGAAGATCTGATGAAGCTGGTAAGGATTACTGTACTCCAACTTTGCACTGTCCTGGCGTATTGTTGTGGATTCAGCACACTGTCTACCATATTTGCATGACTTTTACGAAAATATCACTTCCCCCTTACCCAGCTGGGAGACGTGTACAGAGATGATCCTCACGATCTCAGTCTGGAGTTCTGGTGGACCGGGGCCGACACACCCAGGTCTGTCCACGTTCCATACTCCATACTCCCACGTTTCCATTCCAGTCCATTTTATAGCAAATTCCACTAGTCTGTCTTTCATACTTCCTTTTCATCAGCTCACTCAGCATTTTGCAAATTTTCATGTTTACTCATTTCCATGGTTCCATTCATCCATGTTTCCATACTGTCATGTCTCCATTCCCCAGGACCAACCAGCGTGGAATCAGTCTCCACAAGTTCCTGGGTCTGTGCACTGATCTGCTGCCGGCTCCCGTGTTCACCTCCCTCCTATACCTTCTGAGGGTGAGCCCTGCTATTAATAGACTAATTCGGGCGACATCATCATATTAATGTCCCAGGTACCACCTACCTGAACATTCCGTTCTCTGTGTTGCTATAAATAGCATTTTATTCAGTGTCATCATCGTGGATCTATTTTTTTGTGCGGCCTTCCTGATTTTAGAGAAATCTTTTTTCAGGGATTGTCATCATCGGCTAAAACTGCCTATCACTGCTTCGAGTTTCTGAAGTCAAACTCTCCAAGTCTTGGTGAGAAAAGGGTTAAATTTTACCCTTGACAAGTCATGTGATACTCATGTGATCTCTCACAGGAGGGGGCGGGGCATCTGCTGCAATATCTCTGGACCATTTCTTCACCTCTCTAAGACAGTACTATCTGGGGCTCAGACGGGAGGGGGCGGGGCTGGCCACGCCCACCGGATGTGCCATTTCCCCACAGGAGTTGGAGGGCCTTGTCTCAGTTCTGAAATTGATTCAGACCATCACTCGACTGGTAATACTAACTATAGACATATGGGCTACAAACCAGCCAGACATTGTCTTGACGAATAGGGGTTAATAAGTTTTCACTTCGAAGAAAATGTTTCCTGTTTTTTTTGTGTTTCAACTGAAACTGAAGCAGTGTGTGGAAAAGAACAGGAAAGTAGTGTATTACTGACACAAGCCTATGTGTAGGCTGAAGTTGAAACAATCGTCTGTTGAGTCTACCATCGCAACAAGTTCTCCCCACCTCCCAGGACGCAGGAGCAAGAGTTGTCATGTACGAGAGCCAGCAATGGCTGCCTGTTCCCTCTCTCTTCGGCTGGTGGGGTGCCCCATACCCCGAGAACTCAAAGCCGAGGTAAATGGAGTAACTTACTCCGAAGTGTCTTCTCATTTTTCGTTAATTCGTCAGATTTTGCTGACGTTGGCAGCGTTTGCAAAAAGTCCAGACATTGCCACTTCAATGATTCACACTTTGGAGAGTGTGCAGGTTTGTGTAGTTTCTGAAGAAATTTGCTGATTTTCAGTTTCAGTTTAGAATTTCCCTTGTTTCAGGTTTTGAACACTGTGTCGAGCGTGGGTGTGGCAGTGGGCGGAGCTTTGGTGCAGCCTCAGGCAAAAGAAGGCAGCATTCAGGTATTCTTTTACTGAATACAATGTCTAAGACTCACATGACAGTCACGTGACAATCAGGTGTACATACTGAGTATGATGGTGGATCACATAAAACTAAACAGCTCACAATGTAGATAGAAAATCTGGGTGTATTCATAAAGTATGATAGTTGGTGGATCACATGACTGTCACGTGACAATCAGGTGGAGCTGGAGGAGATAGAGTCCCAGATGGAAGACTACAGACTGACGAGAGCGTTCCTCGTTCTCCTGGACTCAGTAACGGACGTTCCCCTCCTCCCACGCTGGGTGTCGCTCACAGGGTCCCCGGGTTCCAACCGTACCTAGACTTTGTGAGAGATTCGGTTCTGCTGAGGTTCGACTCACGAGGTTATCAGAATTCCTCAGAGAAGGTTGGTTTGTGAGTGTGGGGAGATTTGCTCTGTCCACGTGTGAAGCATGTATATACCATAGAGCATGTGCCATAGAGCATGATAGAGCATGTGCCATAGAGCATGATAGAGCATGTGCCATAGAGCATGTCTCAACTATATGGTAATGAGGTAGAAAGGCAAGGCAAGGCAAACTACACCCAGGACAGCTCTTTCTTTTCAAAGAATGTCTGTACAGCTACACGTTTTCTCAGATTTCCTTCTACCAATGATATGTATACAATGGAACTCCTCTAATGCTGACACTGCAATAGGCAAAGATGAAAGTTAGAGAGGCGTCCTTATTTCAAGGATCAAATTGCATGCAAGAAGCTGTTCTTGGGGAAAGAAAATGTATCCTTATTAGAGAGATGTCCTTATAGAGAGGTGTCCACATACTTCCTGTATTAATATCTCCATTCAGTGGCAAGTTGCGCGGTTGGCACTGGAGATACTCAAGAAACTGCTCGACAAACACGAAATCTCATTGGACGATTTCGGCAACACGTCACATGACCTCGGAGGAGGGGGCGTGTCCTCTCTCCCCATCTCTCCCGGCCACTCCCTCCTCGTCCACATGTTCAACGACTCACACCTTCTGAAAAAGGTAATTACATCATCATTACGTCATGCCATTTCCGTCTGAAACATTTTAAAAACCTCATTGTGAATGCACAGCGAGATTTACTTTGGAGTGATTATAGTGGGGAAGGAGGGAGTATGAGAAGTTGGGGCGTGTTGTCCAGTGTGTGTTGGCTGAATGTGATTGGACAGTCCAAAAATCAGACCACTTGTTTCAGTATTCATGATCTCACTAGAATCTCCAAATAAGGTCAGGCATGCAAGCAGCTCCAGATCTCAGACTGTGAATATTGGTAGAGTGACAGAAAGTCAAGGGCTGTTTCCTGACAGCCTCAGTTTCGCCCCTTTTCTTAGAGTTAGCACACCGCCTTTGCTTGCTTCTTGCTTTATCAGCTTGCTTGCCTCAGTCTTGACTAGACCCTCTCTCTAGCTTCTCTGCTGCACTACTGACAGAGCCATGGCTGCCAAACCATCCACTGCTGCCGAGAAAGCCCTCCAGAAGATCGAGGACCAGGTCACCTGTGGGATATGTCTGGAGCCCTACAAACAGCCGAGGCTGCTCAAGTGTTTCCACGTGTATTGCGAGCAGTGCCTGCAACGTCTGGTACGTGGGAGACGAGAGGGACAGAGTCTCCCATGTCCACAATGTCGCCAGGACACTCCACTGCCAGTGGGCGGAGTCCCGGGGCTCCAAGGAGCCTTCTACATCCACTACCTCTTCGACGTCCAAGATGCCCTCAAGAAAGTGAGCTCCAGCGAACAAACAATGTGCAACAAGTGCAAGAAACGTGAGGCAACTGGCTTTTGTCGCACTTGTGGGTTTGTGTGCCAGCGCTGCACAGAATTCCATCAGGAATGGGACGATTTGAAAACCCACGAGATTATCAACCTGGACACCTTGACTGGAGACGTGACCACCCTCGTTCCTCCTCTCAAGAAGACTCTGTTTTGCTCCAAACACCAGGAAACAAAGGCAGACCTCTACTGCGAGACGTGCGACGAGTTGATATGTCGAGACTGCATCGTTCGTGTTCATCGCGACCACCAGTATGATCTGGTGCCCGAGTCGTTTGCCAAGCAAGAGAAAGTGATCGCGGACTCTCTCAAGCCAGTGGAAGAACAGATTGCTACGTAGAAAGAGCCGTTGAGTCAGTGGACACTCGAGTGTGTTGCAGTCGTAGAACAGAAGACGGCTGTGGTGGCAGAGATCCGCACTGCCCATGGCACACCACTGCCGACAAGGTCTAGAGGCGAGGGAGACAGAGCTGGTGGGTCAAGATGAGCAGACGGCACAGCAGAAATGAAGACCTTGGTAGTGCCAGCGAGACGGGGTTTGAACTGCAACTGGGCCAGCTGAGGAGCTGCCAGGACTTTGTGGAGGAGAGCCGACGTACTGGCAGCCAGGGGGAGATTATGAGGATGAAGAGTCCTCTCGTAAAACAAGTCAACGACCTGACAGGCAGCTTCAGCCGATACATGGCTATGCCGAGCAAGCCACATGGTGTTTGCTCACTGTTGCCTGAACTGGTTGAAGACTTGCCAGCGGTTGGTTAGGTGTACTGTCATCCAGTGTGCCTGAGAAGTGTCGAGCCTCAGGTGAAGAATCAAGGTAGCCACGAGAGGGCAAACAGCGCTTGTCTCTGTAGAGGCTTAGATAGGGAGGAGAAGCCTACCTCAGACCTGTAGACAGCTTGAGGTGTGAGCTAGTTGCTAGCGATGGCAGCAGTCGAGTCAGGGGCACTGTGAAGAGAAGAAATCAGAACACTCTACGACATCAGCTACCAGCTCAGTCACTGGAGAACATCACTACACATTCTAATAGAAGAGCACCCGATCTGAACAGTCCGTTCGCTGTCACCGTTCTATCCAACTCACTGCCCCAGCCAGCATCATAGAGGCCTCGATATGCCATGGGTATAGCTGTCAAGGAAGGAGGGGAGGTGGTGGTGGTAGCGGAACACGTGATGGTCACTGTGTATCAATCATCAGTGGAAATGGAGAGAATAGAGAATACATTTGGTACTCGTGGCTTGGTCCTGGTCAGTTCAACAGTCCTAAAGATGTAGCAATAGACATGGAGGAAACATTCTGTAGTAGACGGGTGGCAACCATCGTATTCAGCAGTTGTCATCCACTGGCAAACACCTCACGAACAGTCGGTACCCAGGCAGTCGGACCTCTTCAGTTCCTGTATCCACGAGGCATTACAGTTCATCCTCACACTGCAAGGTGTATGTTGCTGACTTTGGCAACACAGAATTCAGGTTCTGACCTCCGACCTCACATACTCAGTAGTTTTGGTAGGAAGGGCGCTAACAATGGAGGGTTTTTAACTGGCCTTGGGACATAATACAGACAGACGAAGCAATGGTATGTAGCTGACAGTGACAACCACAGAATCCAGGTCTTCACGGTCGATGGAGTCTACTTGAGGCAGTTTGGAGGAAGGAGGAAGGAGAGGGAGAACTAAACCACCAGTCAGTATTGCATTGACTCTGGCAATGTAGTGTTTGTTGTGAATATGGGAACAACGTATATCAATATTCTCTACTGATGGAGAGTTTATCAAGTCATTTGGAGAGAAAGGGAAAAGGTCCTGTGGAGTTTGATCGTCCATTGGGACTAGCAGTAGACAAGAAAGGAACACTGTATGTCAGTGACTTTGAAAACAATCGTATACAGATCTTCAACTAATGACACAACATCACACAAAAAAACCCACCTTTACTTGTCATCTTGCATGTGTCTTTTGATAATTTGAGTATGTGTCAAATGCTGCAAAAACACGTATGAAAATGCAAGTAGCTCCGTCGGCGAACATTCACCACATTTTCATACATATTTTCTATTAAGATCACCCCACAAGAATTCAGGTGCAGCATGTACACTCGGAACTGATTGCAGCGAAGCCATTTAGTTAATGCCCTCCTTCCTCGGTATTTTGATGGAATGTGTTTACCAATAATTTCTTTGTTTTTGTGTGTCGATTTTCCTTGGTGGCTTTTCGCCAGGTGTTGATGATTATAGATGAGTGTGGCCGTATCCTAGCAACCCCGGGAGAGGGGGGAGGGGTTAGGGAGGGAGAGAGGGAGAGCGTGGCCAGTGCGGCTCTGTTAGCTCTGCAAATGGTCGAATCTGCTCTGGAGAAACAGGACATGTTTTTCTCACTCATAAGACAGGTTGGTAGTGGGGAAGGGGGAGGTAGGATCAAGATAGGCGGAATATGAAAAGTTGGAACAGTAGGTGAGTGTTGTCCAGTAATGGTTTAGCTAACAACAGTTATTGGACAGTAGGTGAGTGTTGTCCAGTAATGGTTTAGCTAACAACAGTGATTGGACAGTAGGTGAGTGTTGTCCAGTGTGTGTTGTCCAGTGTGTGTTGGGTGAATGTGATTGGACAGTCCAACAATCAGACCACTTGTTTCAGTATTCATGATGCTCACTAGAATCTCCAAATAAGGTCAGGCATGCAAGAGTCTGCAGATCTCAGACTGTGAATATTGGTAGAGTGACAGAAAGTCAAGGGCTGTTTCCTGACAGCCTCAGTTTCGCCCATTTTCTTGGAGTTAGCACACCGCCTTTGCTTGCTTCTTGCTTTATCAGCTTGCTTGCCTCAGTCTTGACTAGACCCTCTCTCTAGCTTGTCTGCTGCACTACTGACAGAGCCATGGCTGCCAAACCCTCCACTGCTGCCGAGAAAGCCCTCCAGAAGATCAGGACCAGGTCACCTGTGGGATATGTCTGGAGCCCTACAAACAGCCGAGGCTGCTCAAGTGTTTCCACGTGTATTGCGAGCAGTGCCTGCAACGTCTGGTACGTGGGGGACGAGGGGGACAGAGTCTCCATGTCCACAATGTCGCCAGGACACTCCACTGCCAGTGGGCGGAGTCCCGGGGCTCCAACGAGCCTTTCACATCCAGAATTTGTTTGATATCCAAGATGCCCTGAGCTCCCGCGACCACTGTAGCAAGCACCCTGAAAAAGAAGCAGAATTTTTCTGTGAGAAATGTAACCAGCTTTTCTGTAGTCGTTGCCTTGTTTCCGATCATCGCGACCACCAGTACGATCTGGTGCCCGAGTCGTTTGCCAAGCAAGAGAAAGTGATCGTGGACTCTCTCAAGCCAGTGAAAGAACAGATTGTTACGTTAGAAAGAGCCGTTGAGTCGGTGGACACTCGATGTGCTGCAGTTGTAGAACAGAAGACGGCTGTGGTGGCAGAGATCCGCACTGCCATGGTACACCTGCGACAAGCTCTACAGGCGAGGGAGACAGAGCTGGTGGGTCAAGCAGAGCAGACGGCACAGCAGAAATTGAAGACCTTGGCAGCACAGCGAGACGGGTTTGAACTGCAACTGGGCCAGCTGAGGAGCTGCCAGGACTTTGTGGAGGAGAGCCGACGTACTTGCAGCCAGGGGGAGATTCTGAGGATGAAGAGTCCTCTCGTGAAACAAGTCAACGACCTGACAGGCAGCTTCAAGCCAGACACATTGGCTCTTGCCGAGCAAGCCGACATGGTGTTTGCTCACAGTCTGCCTGAACTGGTGAAGACTTGCCAGCAGTTTGGTAGGGTGTATGTTGGCCCTGAGAAGTGTCGAGCCTCAGGTGAAGGCATCAAGGTAGCCACGAGAGGGCAAACAGCGGCTGTCTCTGTAGAGGCTTTAGATAGGGAGGGAGAAGCCTACCTCAGACCTGTAGACAGCTTGAGGTGTGAGCTAGTTGCTAGCGATGGCAGCAGTCGAGTCAGGGGCACTGTGAAGAGAAGAAATCAGAACATCTACGACATCAGCTACCAGCCTCAGGTCACTGGAGAACATCAACTACACATTCTAATAGAAGAGCACCCGATCTTGAACAGTCCGTTCACTGTCACCGTTCTACCCAACTTCACTGCCCCAGCCAACATCATTGGAGACCTCAAGGGCCATGGGGTATAGCTGTCAGGGAGGGAGGGGAGGTGGTGGTAGCAGAACGTGATGGTCACTGTGTATCAATCATCAGTGGAAATGGAGAGAAGAAATCATTTGGTACTCGTGGCTCAGGTCCTGGTCAGTTCAACAGTCCTACAGGTGTAGCAATAGACAATGGAGGAAACATTCTTGTGGCTGACTGTGGCAACCATCGTATTCAGCAGTTGTCATCCACTGGCAAACACCTCAGAACAGTCGGTACCCGGGGCAGTGGACCTCTTCAGTTCCAGCATCCAGAGGCATTACAGTTCATCCTCACACTGGCAAGGTGTATGTTGCTGACTGTGACAACCACAGAATTCAGGTTCTGAACTCCGACCTCACATACTCCAGTAGTTTTGGTAGGAAAGGCTCTAACAATGGAGAGTTCAATGAGCCTTATGACATATCTACTGACAGAGAAGGCAATGTGTATGTTGCTGATCGTGACAACCACAGAATCCAGGTCTTCACAGTCGATGGAGTGTACTTGAGGCAGTTTGGGAAGAAGGGAGAAGGAGAGGGAGAACTAAACGGCCAGTCAGTATTGCTATTGACTCTGGCAATGTAGTGTATGTTGGTGAATGGGGAACAATCGTATATCAATATTCTCTACTGATGGAGAGTTTATCAAGTCATTTGGAAGAAAGGGAAAAGGTCCTGTGGAGTTCAGTAGTCCATATGGACTAGCAGTAGACAAGAAAGGAACACTGTATGTCAGTGATACATGCAGATAACACGAGATATGTCATGTCAATGACTGGAAACTTCAAACTAACTAATACCACAACATCACACCAAAAAACCCACCATTACTTGTTGTGTCGTGTCTTTGATAATTTGAATATGTGACGAATGCTGCAAAAACACGTATGACAACTGTTCAGTAGCTCCGTCGGCGAACATTCACCACATTTTCATACATATTTTCTATTAAGATCACCCCACAAAAATTCAGGCGCAACATATACTTGGAAATGATTACAGCGAAAGCCATAATTAAGTTAGTGCCCTCCCTCCTCGTGTATTTTGATGAGTATGTTTACCAATTTCTTCGTTTGTGTGTGTCGATTTCTCGTTGGCTTTCGCCAGGTGTTGATGATTATAGATGAGTGTGGCCGTATCCTAGCAACCCCGGGAGAGGGGGGAGGGGTGAGGGAGGGAGAGAGGGAGAGCGTGGCCGGAGCGGCTCTGTTAGCTCTGCAAATGGTAGAATCTGCTCTGGAGAAACAGGACAGTTTTTTCTCACTCATGAGACAGGTTGGTCAGGTGACTGTCACATGATCTCTGGTGGAAGTCATGTGACCTACAGAACAACCTGAGTGTCATGGTAACGCCACTGGACCAGTTGTTGCTAGGAATCAACCCTCGATCGGGACTTGCTGACCATTTCATCAATATCGCGAGGTTCGTAGTACACACCACACACTGGCACAATGACATGTGTGTATGCATTTTGTGGACTGAGGTTTAACTAAGTGTCAGTTTACATATGCAAACGCAAGTGTGTGTCAAAGTACTAAGCCGCAAGACTTGATAGTGTAGAAAATTTTTAATGGCTGACAATCATTATTCATTGGAGCCTTGCAATTATTTAGCATACTTACCGTTTTTGCTCCCCCCAACAGCTACATGTCTCTGACGTGGGAGACGCCAGAACTGGCTCTCTCAGCCGTCAACATTCTCATATCCTCCTCCCACTCCGTCAAGGTTGCCAAGGAGATGGCCGTTGCCATTAGCAACAACAAGGTCACTTGTATACATTCATAAACTGTGCCGTTTTTTACAAATAAAACTTTCTCACAGAAAGCAAAGTCCAACATCATTCACGGGTTTGTCGAACACTTGGAGTGGGAGGGGCCAGACACGCCTAGCGACGACCCTGCTGAGTCTCCCACGGCAACCGTTGCCGGGGTACACAGACAGGTCCAGCTCGGAATCCTCCGCCTCCTGTCTGACTGTGTCGGGAAACCTCCAAATATTGCCCACCTTCTCCTTGGTTTCGAGGCGAGGCGGGGTAAACAGATCAGCGAGACGACACTCCAAGACCCCGGGGTACTGGAGTCACCCCGAACTGTACTCCACTCCCTCCTCTCCCTCGTCCAGCACTCCTCCGATCCCCGCAATCCGATTGGTTGTCACTATGGCAACCCCAAACTCGCTGAGCTCTGCTACAAAGTCATATTTCAGCTGTGCTCTCATCACGACCTTTCAACCCCTACCCTCCGCTACTTGCGCAATAATCACGACTTCTTCCATGCCCAGCTGTCTGCAATCCCATTGGACGTTGCTAGGTTACGCCCGGCAGAGGGCGAAGAAGAGGAAGGGGAGGGAGAACTGGGTGGAGTCAGAATCATGACATCACAACAAGTCTCGTTGCTCCACCAGCAGGCGTGGCTGTTGAAAGCTGTTGCCATAGAGATGAGAGTAACCGCGGAAACGCAGCTGCGATCGCACAACCAGAGACTAGTGGACCTGCTCATGTCTGAGAAGTCGACCAATTGGAATCCGGTGCTGGGTCATGTGACAGGAAGTGTGATGTCGGAACTGACAGAATACCAACCTGAACTGAGTATAGCAAACGAGGGGCAGAGGAAAATTCTGGTTTTACTCGACCTTGTGACCTTTGAGGACTTACCTCTCCCTCCACTGCAGGCGGAATTCGAAGCTGCCATTCAGTCATGTGACACAGAGGTAGGGGTCAAAGTTTACCTAGGGCAAATACATAGTTGGTATGAAGCACTGGAGTATTGGAGTATGGGGTATTTGTTACTCCAGGACCCCAGTTCGGGGCTGACCTACACGGACGTGCGGCAGCTGCATCAGATGATGATGACGGAGGTCAACAGTCTCCGAGGTGGTGTTGGAGCCAGCGCCCAGAGACACAGCTTACTACAGGTCTGGGTTGTCAGTGCTTCTTCTCCGACTGATCTTCACTAAAATATCTTCTACTGGTGTATTATATTACAGTGGAACTCCTCTAATCTGGACACCAATGGGACAGAAGAAAGTGTCCATATTAGTGAGGTGTTCGGGTTAATTTGCATGCAAGAAACTGCTCTTTAGTCCATTTTAGAGAGTTGTCCTCATTTCAGGGTGTCCTTAGAACGCTGTATTTTTTTAATGTCACTTTGTCTGTCTGAAAAGTGAAGAGTTGTATAATACTAGGCTCAGTGCACTTGTGGTTTGCACAATTGGCTAAAGGGCAAGGTTTTATCGTCTCGTAATTCTCGCAGGAAGTTCAGTCGGCTCTGGAGGTGGTGGTATTGCGCAACTCCGTCCTGGAGAATCGTCACGGCAACACCCACCTGTTCCGGGGTTGGCGTCAGGTCGTAGAGATTTCTCTTCATTCTCTTCTTGGGGGAGGAGGGAGTAATGAGGGGAGAGGGGGAGCGGAGAAGAAAGAGAGAGAAATATCTGTTCTGTTCGAGCTGATTCAAGGACTGCTGGCCAGAGTAAGTAATGTCATGTGACTATAAGGTGGAGTCAGATGTTTCTCACATGGTTTAGAATAGGTCTCATTATTATTTGACAAGAGTGTGAGATTCAAATTCTACATGTAGTTGAGTTGTATGTGATTAAACTGGCTGTGTCATGTGACCAGGTTGAGGGGCGTGGCAGAGGTGCTCTGTCGGGAGAGGTGTTCCGAGTCCTGCTCGTTCTCATGTCACATCTCTCTTTCATCACCACAACTGCCGTTACCGAGGACGACGGTGAGGAATTTTAACGGCACCACGAGCGAGATGAGACATTCTGGTGCAATCTTATTGTGTCACTAGTGAGAAAAGCCAGTAGCCAACCTGCATGTCTGTCAATGGCTAATGCAACAAAAATCTTCCTCTCCCCTGCAGACTCTCTGTTGACTCTGATATTTTCGGCACCGCTCCAGTCCATCCTCCGAGACCTGCTGACAGCAGTTCAGCAGACGCCGGGAGCGATGCAGCTGGCCCGGGCACATCTCTACGGGGCCCTCCTCTACTTCCTGACCGTCTCCAGGCAACAGCATTCCTCAGATTCCAGCAACCACAGAGGTTGTACTATACCTTGGAAATTTCTATAAAAAAGTTACAATCGAATGCTAATACTTTGTATATAGAACTTCTGAATACCTTTCTATATAGGGCACTTATTACTAGTATATACTTTCCTCTGAATGATCATCATTGTATCCAATGTTGTAGTAATATTACGTAATGAACCTTGGACGTGGAACAGGGCAAACAGGTTTGAGACTGGAATGGAGCGAGGACTCGCTGGCTGCCGGTAACCTAGCAACCATCGCCAGCTTCGGGGAGCCCCTGATGGAGATTGTCTGTCGAGACGCCAGCTCCGGACACGACGTCACTAGGGTGAGCATTAATTGGCAGTAAACAATCACACTTCACAGAACAATGAAAATACAACTCCCTCCTCCTTCCTCCTCTCCTCCTCCTCCTCTCCTCTCCTCCTCTGTGCACAGATGCTGTCGCTCTCTCTCCTGGACGCCATGTTCTCCATCGACAGAGACGGGAGCTGGCTGAGGTTCATCGTCTCCCGTGGTTACCTGGCCAAGCTGGCTGCCAGTCTCCTCTGGGAGGACGAGGCTCTCCAGAAGATGCTCCACCCTCTGCCTGACACCGCTCAGAGCTCTCTATGTCCATGAGTCAAGAATGGTAGGTCTAGAATTGCAGTATCAACAAATTATGAGTTCATAGCGTATTACTATTCGATTCAGAACTACAGCTATATTCCAAATTTATGATTCACACACACTCCTTACCACCAACTCTCTCTCTCTGAAGGCTCTCCTGTCACGACTGGCCCAGACACCGGCTGGTTCCAGGGAACTCCTCGCCGCCAACTGCATCAGCTACATCGCACAGTGCCGCTTCATTGACCTTCGACCCGATCACCACGACAAACACACATCTGGTCTGCACGGCAACGTATTTGACCCCAGTGGGACTGGGTTCGTCCCTTCCGTCGGCGATCGTTATCGGCAGCTGCTTCTTCCTCTGTTGAAACTACTGCTGACCATGTTGACGTGTCCCGGTGCCCAGAGGTCAGAGGTCAAATCTCAGGTATGAAAATCATGTGACTAACTCTACACTTATAATTAGAGAGAAATTTCGATGATTTTCCCAAAGGTGACGTCCCTAATTGGAGCCCACTCTGACACGTTTACGTCGATACTCAAGAGTCACCGAGGCCCGGTTTCCGTGGCAACCCTGGAGGAGTTGTCCTTGGTGACTGGGGTAATTGGTCACTCTGGAGTAGGGCAGGACTGGAGTACCCAGGACTCCACTGCGCTGGGGTCGGGGATGGTGCACATCCAGAGATTGATGCTGGCTCTTATCTCGCACTACTGCAACTCACAGGTCCACTAGTGAAGATAGATTACTGAGTGTTTGACAAAGTATGCTAGAAGATTACTGAGCGAGTATACTGATGAATTGGCATAGTAGATTACTGAGTGAGTATACTAACTGAGATTGTGTCGGCAGATGTGGTCAGGATTGGTGGCAGAGGCTCTGCGAGGAGAAGCAGAGGGAACAGACGTGAACCCTGACCCCTTGGTCACCTTGGAAACGAAGCTAAAAGTCCTCCAGATATGTGCCAACATCGTTGACTACTGCCGCGTTGCCATGACAATGGGAGGTGATGCTGTTTGCCAAAATCCAAAATTTTGTGATGTGTGCAAATTTTCCACTAGGAAAGGAGTTTTCCTCTCCGTACTGTCGTATTATCTTCTCTCCTGAATTGATGACATCACTGTCGACCAATCAGAGTAGAGACGGACCTCGTGCCTTCCACACCTCCTCCTCCTCCTCACCCCTCACTCCCTCACAGTCACAGTCACTCGGACACCTCATCAAACAACTTAGAGAAGTACAAATACGTATCAATGTGCTTGCTTGTCAGTGTTTCAGAAGTGCAATATTCAGACCACAAAGAGACATTAATTTGTTGTGTATTTAAATTGAAAGTGAACCTGTTGGTGCAGGTATCCGACGGTTACCAGGTGACCCTGGAGAGTTCTCGACAGATCCAGAGGAAGATCAGTCAGCCTTCTTCTCTCTCCCAAGACGAAGTCTTACAGGTATTAAATTTCGTTTTTTTCTTCTTCTGAGGGAGGGGCGAGTTACTAAAGCCAAAGTTGTAGCTGATGCATAATTATATAGAATATTATTTTGAATGGATAGAGTGTTGAAGGATCATCCTGTTGTTAGTCTTTGTGAAAGCACCACTAAAACTACATGCCGCTAATAATTTCGCTTTCTCTTTCCCTTTCAGCTGGTGTCTCTGGCAGCCAGCTCTCTCCCTCTCTCTCACCAGCAGTCTCTCGCCAGAAGGAAACTGAAGAAGATGCTCTCACTCACCAAGAAAGAGATGGACCTCCATGCCTGTATCCTGCTTCCCCCCTGTCTCTCTCTCTCTATCTCCCTCTCTTCTCTCTCTCCTCTCTCTTCTCTCCCCAAGTATTCTTAACTTGACTGTCAGATATTACCGAAAACCTACTCTACGTGCTGTGGAGGCATCTACAGTTCTATTTAATGCACTGCAAGCCAGTGGGCTGGGGCCAGAGGCATGGGAGTGGGCGGAGCTTCCTTCACCCGACCTACCATGAGAAGAATAGATGGTTCGTTCACAGTCTTACATCATAGTGATATCACCTTTTAAGGACAACTGAACTATGGGTGTAAGAGGGCCAGGCCCAGGCGTCCATTTTCGAAGGGTATAGACCAAGTGTCCTTGATCTTTTTCAGAGGTTTTTCTGTAATCTTTGTAATTTCAGAACCTGCTAAGGTGACTGCCATGGAAACGACCTTTGACCTGTCGTCTCTGAGCGAGGGCGTAAGTCCGGGAGATCTGGAATCACTGAAGATGTCCATTGGTCGATGTCTCCCAAGTTCTCTCTTCCAACAGCTTCTCGATGTTGAAGAGGTTGGTTTGACCTTACTGAATATGGCCTTGGGGCACGAGAATTGAATGTTTAACCACACGAGAAAAGTTTTTTTAACTCGATGCAGCTGGATGTGAGGATGAATGTTTTCTTGTTTGAAGTGCGAAAATGACTTACCTTGTTCATGACTACATTGAAGCCTAGTGAATGTATATTTGTCATGTCTGCATGGAGATGAGGTTTTCACAGCTCTCTGTCTCCCTCTCCTCTCTCTCTCCCTCCTCTCCCTCCTCTCCCCTCTCAGGGGCAGGAGGCAGGGAGGCGAGGTCAGGTCAGCTTCATTCAGGCACTCGTACACAGGATACGGAAACTCGTCAAACTACGAGCTGCCCCGCCCACTGCCACACCCGCTCTAGTCACATGACCTCCTAGCAACCAAACTTCTTACTGTTTATTCTCCTAACAAATTAATTATTGCTTTGAAAAATTGACCCTAATACTCAGTACCACACTCGGCAATGCATGCAATATTTTTTATATAACTATTCGAATGCACCAGTTTTATTGGCCATTAGCACAGATATTATATTATACACAAATCAATATCTTGATTGGTGCACGAAAATGCTAAACCTCCTAGACGAAAGTCTGTGATAAATAGACAAACACTAGTCCATAAAGTGACGCGATGGATTCACTCCGTACAGCCCAGTCCTTATCTCTGGCATCATCTAATCAAACGAAACGAGATTCAAAAGATAACAGCATTGATACACTAAACATCATAACAAGTAAACGAGAAACGGAAGAATGTGGCTCTGTACCTGAGTTCCCATCAGCTCTAGGCGACTCTCTAGCGTGTTCGTGCACTTGATCTTGCCGGCCCTCACGAACAGTTCCACTCCACCAGAACTGCATAGCATATAGTGGAGCAAAGGTCAGGTATTTAATGGACATTCCACGAAAAGTCAACAGAGTTGGCTCTGTGGCTTAGTTGGTTAAAGCGCCTGTCTAGTAAACAGGAGATCACCGGTTCAAATCCGGTCAGGGCCTTTTTATTTTCCCACATATTTTTTTTCCCTCACACAAACACATTAAAACTACCAGCTATTAATATTTCCACCCATTCCACAATTTTTTGATCATACGACAGTATTTTCTCACTGACCATTCGGCAGGAAGATGGGTCGTGTCAATTAGCACTTTGCAGGTCTTCTTGGTAGCTTGTTCATAGGAGCGTATAGCATCACCCGCTACATTCTAAAACACAAACCACAATAATAGAACGTTAGAAGATCTTTTTGAGCATGACATAGCCTGGATTGAAAGTGAAATCTTACTTTTACGAGACCAACGTCTTCCTGACGACAACGGACAGTTACTTCCTCTTCCAACAGTTGAAACAAGCCCTAAAATAAGAGAAAAACAGGGCGAAAAAATTGAGGGAAAACGAAAGAAATAGTGGTGGTTACCTGGGCAACAAGGTCCCTCAACATCTGTTGATAGTGGGCGGAGTCTCGGGTCACCTCACTCAATCGAGTACTGGCCTCTTCCAGAACTCTCTTTAGGGAAGAAATGTGCAGATATTATTAAACTATAGCCACACAGACATGTGAGAAAGAAACAAAATAATGACCAGTTTTTCTATACTCAAGTGCTTCAAGGCTCACACTGAAACGCTATCTATATATACACTTTACCAAAACCATGTACCTTGATGTGGTCATCTCTTGACTTCAGGACTGCTAGCCTTGCCTGGTTCAGCAGGTTAGAGTGTTGGCTGTAGTGGAATAGAGGCAAGAGTGGAACTCCTCCAATCAAGACACCAATGGGACAGAAGAAAGTGTCCATATGTCCTTATTTTAGGGGTTAAATTGCATGCAAGAACTGTTTTTTAGGAAAAAGAGATGTCCTCATTATTTAGGCGTGCTAAGATGTTCCACTGTAATTGACGCAAGGATAAAAAACTTTGAGCAAGTAAAGATAATTTCTCTAATATTGATTTTCAAAACTCACATCTTTTTCTGCAGCTCCAGCTGTTTCTCTCTCCGTTCAAAGTAGTTTGAGACTTTTCTCTTCTCGTTCTGAAGAAGACGTCCTTTCTCAATGTTGAATTCCTCTTCCGCCTTTAGTTTATAGAGAGAAGAAAAGAAAGAGACGACATCTTTTCTGTCCCACGTACGGTTCATTTAACCCCTGAACTAAGGAAATCTGGACACTTTAACCCCTGAACTAAGGAAATCTGGACGCTTTCTTCTGTCCCATTACTGTCCCGATTAGAGAAGTTCCACTGTATTAACTCCCAACACGTATATATATAAATAACGTAAGACCCTGGATGCCCCAGACTTGAGACTTGGAGTGGTTGATTGTGAGCACTTGTATTACCCTCTATGGCTCTCTTTCACGTGCCGTGTAGCTTGTCTTTGTACTGGGCAGTTGAGTCCATTCAACTGACATTTGTGACAACACCACAGCTCAATGCAGTTCTCTGTTCGACACAGTTAGCACATGACTACATCTCACTCTCTCTCTCTCAGAGTCACACATTACTATATACTCCACTGGCTAAAGTATGACATTTCTAAAGTAGCTACATTGTGAAAGAAATGAGTCGCTTGCACGACTTACCTTTATCATGATCTCATCAGCCTTCTCGTGAGCCTCTTGTTTAATAAACTTCTTCATGTGGTTGATCTGGGGACACAAGAATGGCAAATAGGGGCGGAAGAGAGAGTTAGTTAGAACACAGATAAAATGGAAGCAGTTAGCCGTCAAACAGGGCTCTCTAGACTAGTGGCTGCACCCGCAGACAGCTGGAGTCTCTTCCGTCTCACCTGCTTCTCAACCTCTGCGTCTGAGAGTGCCATGGTTTCTGTTCTCTCTCTTCTTTGCCTTCTCTTCAAACAGACGAAAACTCAGCCTCGCTTGCTGCGAATGGTAAATACGGAGATATGCGGAATCCGAGATTACGGAGGTTTTCACGTGACGGCGCGGAGTCTTACCGAAAGTTATGTAATCTTTGCGCATGCGCATGTTGAGACAGCTAGACTGCTGTGCGAGACGGCGGGGACAGGTGGTCAAGCAGAACAGCAAAGTTACAACGAGACAACGATAATTGGACGTAAAGTTGTGCTAGAAACAAGGCACAACAGCGGATGCGCTTGTCTTACACGTTTTCGGATTCTTACACAAGTTTCCGCATAAAAGACAGTGCAAAATCAGGGCTGCGGCATGGACAGTCCGCTATTCTGCCGAGAAATTGGTTGCTGGAGCTTTTGTCTACTCTCTTTCAGTCCACAGCAGCAGCTTCGCGACGCGTTGAAGGAGTCCGCTGTATTGAGGACCAGCTACCAAATTTGAGGTACATTATTCTCGGAAGACAATCTACGTATATAGCTAGCCATCTTCCGACTGCAAAACATTTTTCAAGTATAGCATTTTACTGCACACTATCTTGTTTCCAACCTTCTACAGGTAGCTACAGTCACATGTGTGGTGAGTGGAAGGATTACTGAGTCATGGAGACTGGGAGAGAGACGTTCCTTCTCTCCCCGGAGCAGAGAGGAATGTACTACATCCAGACCCTTGATCCTAGCACAAGGTAACCATGCTTACGCAATTCACACGCTGCATAGACCGCTGCAAAAAAGTTCAGTTTTTCAAGTAATTACCGAAAAACTGCATATTGAATTTACTTTGTACTTGTGTTTTTGCACAGAGCTTTCAACATTGGTGTCGTGGTTCACATGGAAACGACCTCAAACCACGCCCTCTGCCCCGCCCACATAATCCCGGCTCTACAGACCCTCGTCTCCAGACACGACGCTCTAAGAACAACCGTATCCCCAGGAGACGATTCGACCAATCATGTTCCACTGTTCGTCACCAACGCACAATTCGAAAACATTGAGACTTCTACTGTCAAGGAGTTTGGTAGATGTCCTATGAAATTGGCAGTGGAGGCAATTCGGATGGAGTTTGATCTCTCGTCACAGCTCTTCCGATTCAGTTTCCTCCAGAGTGGCCCGAAAAATCTCTCTCTGGTTCTCGCCTTTCACCACATTGCAGTCGACGGAGCCTCGATCCAAACTCTGCTGCACGAGCTCCTGAGTCTGCTGGCCGGTCACCCCCTCCCTCCCAACCCTCCCCAGATTACCACTTTCCTCCCTCGTCTCGGAGACTCGCCGGGTCAAAGTCCAGATGAGACGAGACGAGAGAGAAACAAACGGAAGTGGATGAGTATCATGGGCTCCACCGCCAAATGCTCACGGATAAATCTCCCAGAGAGAGGGACTGAGACGATGTGTACAAAATCCTCAGAATGGGTAGCTATCAAGTGCCCTAGCTCCGTCACAGATATGGTGGACGAAATTGCGAGTTTCTACAGAGTCTCGCAGACCGTGGTTCTGACGGCCATGTTCTCAATAGCTATTCGAGAGGAACTCCTCGGGTCTGAGGAAGTCGTCGTGATTGGCTGCGCGTCCGAGAATCGCAGGCGATCTCAACGAAACATGGTCCGGTCACACGGTAAATCTTCTGCCACTCAAACTAGATTTCCCCGCCAAAGACACACCGATCACTCTCTCAACAATCATCTCACAGATAAAAACAGGGTGGTCCCTCATAATGGAGGGCGGAGTCACACTAATTGACCTTCTCCCGGTGCTACCCTGTCTCAGGAGCAGGGACTCACACCTGATTAGTAATCAAGATAGGGTCTACTCGGCTTCTCCCTTGCAGATCATCTTCGTTTCTCCCGACTCCACAGAAGTCGCTCCCGAAATCTGTCGCTCTCGGGGAAGGAAATGAAGTTCAGTGTCAAGTCGATTTTCCTCGATCCTGTGATGCTCAGGCTGATCTTTTTCTCGAAGTGAGGGCCCCTGGTAATTGGGAGGGAAACGAGGCAGAAACGAGCTACCTTTTCACTTGGGAATTTCGATCGACAGCTCTAAATCGAGAGAGAATCCAAAAACTTCACAATTTCACACTCGACGTCCTCGCCTCATGTCAGTCTACCAGTCGAAACCTAACGAGTGGGAGGGGCAACGATGTCATAGAATTGACCGGCAATACAGAAAATCCACATGTGGCGGAGAATATGATTGTGAGCAGCTGCAGTCTCAAGGGAGAGGTGACGGAAGAGACTGATTCCACATGTAACACAGAGAACGAAACTGTCTTTCTGCGCGGTGCTCGCGGCATTTGGCTCTGGCCACACCCACCCCCCACCGACCCTGAACTTTTACATGACTCCGCCCCTTTCTCTCCGTCTTCGTACAATCCTCCAAGGCCTCTTCAACTCCCGATGAAAATATCTCTCGTCGAAGGTGTCGCAATCAACGCAGCACCGACTAATCTCGCTCCAATTCAAATGATTCTGGAGACTGCAAGTAGGGTACCAGACAACCTCGCATTCCAGTACGGAACAGAGACACTCACTTATGCCCAGGCAACCAAGAGCATCGAGCGACTTGCAAAAGTGCTTCGGTGGAAAGGGGTAGCCCCTGGTAATCACGTCGGGTTAGTGATGCCTCGGTGTACCAATCTGTACATCAGTCTGCTAGCCATACTGAGGTGTGGCGCTGCTTATGTCCCCCTCTCTCTCCACCATCCCCAGTCAACCCTTCTCGCCATGCTAGAAACAGCCGACTCTAAACTTCTCCTCACAGATACGGCCACACTCGCTCAGAAACTCCCGGACTACAACGGAGATTACGTCCGTGTGGATTGCGACATCGTCACGGAGGATGTACCGCCAATCCCAGAGGATTTGCAATACCACCGAGATCTCGTGGCTTACATCACATTTACGTCGGGGACGACTGGCGTCCCGAAAGGTGTCGCAATCACAAACGAGTCCCTATCGCAGTTTCTGGCAAATTTCAAACTCGTCGCAGCCCCCCACGATACCAGAGTCACCCTAGCTGGGTGTACAGTTGCATGGGACGGCCATGTTCTCGATTCCCTCGGACCTCTCCTCAACGGCTCCTGCCTCATTATCGCACCGACCCTGGAAATTAGCGAGGGAATTACGTTTGCCTTCATGTCTCCCAGTGCAGCCAGCGTCCTCCGATTTCCGAGGAGCATGCGCTGCCTCATGGTAGGAGGGGAGGCCTTCACTCGTACTTGCTACGAGAGCGTCAAACACATCCCCAAAGTTCTATCGGTCTACGGACCGACCGAAACTACTGTCTTCGTGTCCGTCATGTACATGGGTGCCTCCAGCGACTCCAGCAAGAGTTTCTCGAACCTCGGCATGGCGATGCCCGGGGTTTCGCTAATGGTGTGCGATTCTCGTCAGCGTCCCGTCGCCCTCGGTAACGAGGGAGAACTGTGCATTGCAGGACGGCAGGTATCCCGTGTCGGCTACCACAACAACTCGGCCAAGACGAGACAGTCTTTCGTACAAAGTCCTCTCCCAGGGTACGGGACAGTGTATCGAACGGGGGATCTGACGAGGATGTTTCGTGACGGAACGATCGTCTTTCTCGGACGGATGGACGACCAGGTGAAGCTGCGAGGAATGAGATTTCAACTACACGAAGTCGAAAATGCCTTCAGGCAACACTCGGGAGTCAAAATGGCCGCCGTTGCCGTGAGAAACCAGGGAACACCCTCAGCACAGTTACTAGGATTTGTAACTCCACGAGAAATCGAGTTAGACACGCTCTACAACTTTCTGCGGGGTCATTTACCGACTTACATGATACCATCAGCCATCACTACCATGGACGAGCTGCCGTTGAAAAGCGAGGGGAAGGTAGATCGCAGAGCCCTCCTCGGAATGACACCGCAAACCAGGGAAACAGGGGAGACCGACAACAAGAAAGAACAAGTCGAAAACCGAGAAAGTTCCGATTCCAATGAAGTTGCGGAGACACTGGCGAGAGTATTTGGACAGGTCCTGGGCGTCGACTCGTACCCCGTTACTGCAGACTTCTTCACCAGCGGCGGACAATCTCTACTCCTTTTCCGTCTCCTCCAGATGGTCAACGGTGAGCTGGGCTGCCAGCTGAGTCTCTCTCACCTACTGCAGAACTTCCAGAACCTCTCTCCACTCTCGCTGGCTGCAATTATCCAGGGGACCAGGCTGGAGAGGAGTGACGAGGCTGAGAGGCTCGGTGGCAACGAAGCAAGCAAATCACAGAGAAATGGAGCACTACCTAAAGACAAGGGAGTAGCTGCAATGGAGGTCGATGCAGCTACCAGCACAGCTAAAGGAGACGAGGCAACAAAATCACGCAGCGATGGAGCAACGACTGTTGAAAAAGATTCTACAACGAGAGTGAAATCCATTGGCAGTACCACTGACAGAGGAGAGATGGAAGAGACTGGTATGACAAGTGAAGACGATGCTCTTGCTCGGTTTGACTACCTGGAACCAGTTCCCGAACCAGCAAAACTGGATTTTCTGGATCAGCTACTATACGGCCAAGGCAGCAGGCTGTCGACAGAGGGAAAATGCGATCTCCTTCATAAGGAGACAGGGATTTGCATCCCTCCATCTTCCCTCGAGAGATATCCCAACACAGCAGCTCTGCTGACTCAACTCAAGTTGAAACGTCTCATCGACTATTTTGACGGAGCCAGTTCCCCTGTGGTCCAACTTGGATCGCCCACGACAGGCGAACACGACCAACCAATAATTTTCCTCCACGGCGGAATCATCGGCTGGCCTCTGCCCTACCTCTCGCTCGCTCGCTCCCTACCAGGCAGCAGTTTTGCCATCCAGCGCTGCGAAGAAAGTCCCACGGAGAGTTTCGAGGAGATGGTGGCTTACTATGTGAAGAGCATCCTGGAAACTCAACCCAACGGTCCCTACAGACTGGTGGGTGTGTGCTACGGAGCTACGATGGTGTACGAAGTCACACGGCAGCTGACAGACAGGGGACACACGGTCGATCTGGCGGTGTTCGTGAATCATTCTCCAGCTATCGAGAAGAAGCCGGCAATATTTGATTCGCAGGGGGAGCCCCTGGCCGGTACGTTCGTCGACCCGATTTTTTTCTTCCGGAAGATTCTTGGGTTGCCACTGGAAATTGGTGAGGAGGGAGGGAGAGAGGGGAGAGAGGAGGGAGAGAAGGGACTGGAAGAAAAAGTAAAGAAGGTTGTGAGCACCATTCTATCATCACCAGAAAGTTCCTGGATCCCTTTCACGGCGGCTGAGTTGGAAAGAATCTATCTTGGTTTCTTCGGTCGACTACGCTGTGCCTGGAGAGGGTACACCCCCCGATCAGGAGCTGCCATCAGCCACTGTCTCCTGCTTCGAAACGCCTCACACCCTCTGTTCCACAGCCACGACTTTGGTCTCGGATCTCTCCTGCCGACGGGTGCACGGCTGACAGTGTCTGTGGCTCCACAGACTATGGGACTCATGAGCGATCCTGCAACACTAGAATTTGTGACGACTCAGATTGAGTCTTGCCTCATGCCAAATTCCCCCAATACACACTCTGTCAAAGGCCTGGAATGAACTACTGACTACATAATATTACGTGTGATATTGTTTACGCTGAGTTGTATCAGACTGTGTATATATGAAAACTGAACCTTGGCCCAAGTTGTTGATTCTATACGCATGCGCACGCAACAGGGCGTGGCTTGAGAGAAAAGTGGGCGGAGCTCAAGCTACAGACGAAGATGGCGACTTTGTGTGGTGTGAGAAGACTGTTCTCGTCTTCCTCGAGAGCCGTGAGACTAGCAGCTGCTCCCGTCGGTCCACGGGAACCTGGAGACGCTCGTGTCGTGAGCTGTCCACGAGCAGCGCGTGGAGAGCAGGGGTGGACCCGGCCGAGGAGTCCGTCTTCGGTCAGGACCACGTAGAGATGAGAGAGGTGAGCTCGGTAGCCACCCCCTCTCTCCCTTCTTTCTACTGGTTTAAGGTCTCTGTTCATTCCCACCTCACTCTCTCTCTCTCTCTCTCTCTCTCTCTCTCGTTCTCCAGGCACTAAACAAGTTCATAGAGAGAGAGATAAACCCGTTTGTGGACGAATGGGAGAATGCCAGAGGTTTTCCTTCACACGAGGTAGACACACAATAATGCAACACATCCACGACAACACTTTTTAATATACGTATCATAGTGTACAATCCATCCTCAACATTTAATTCCCATATTGAGGAACATATTATGCGGGTTTTTTCACTGGAAAAGATGACGTTTACATGGGAATGCAGCAGTACATATATTTAAGCTAAGTTTAGTATTCTTGTGCTGGGTCCCTTTGTTCTAGTTCCATTTATAACCAGTGTAAATTTATCCCTTACCTACTGCCACATTCTCTTTAAATTGTGTTTGTGTGACTCTGCAGTTGTTCAAGAAGCTGGGATCTGCAGGGTTCCTCGGTATTAACAGAGATCCCGAGTACGGAGGGTTGGGCCTCGACTTCAGTTACAACATGGCCGTCGCCGAGGAACTGGGCAATATCAGATGCTCTGGCGTTCCCATGGCGATTGGCGTTCAGACAGGTCTTTGGAAGATCACCTTTTCTTACTTTCGCATTCATACTGTATATGCAACTTAGCCGAGTTCACATTATGTCGCATTACCTCATCGCACTGTGCTGCGAATAGATTTTACACTTTCTCTCTCTCTCTCTCTCTCTCTCTCTCTCTCTGTCTCTCTGTCTCTCCCTCTACAGACATGGCAGTGCCAGCACTGGCTAGGTTCGGATCCCACGAGCTGAAGAAGTCGTTTCTTGCCCCGAGCATCGCCGGAGATTTCGTGGCGTGTGTCGGGGTCAGCGAACCTGGGGCTGGCTCCGATGTCGCTAACATTAGAACCAACGCCAAGCCGAAGAAAGGTGAGATAGGGATATATGCAGCGAGATAGAAGACATGTCCATTCCATACTCCAACTTTAGTCAAAGTAATAAGGATAGTTGCTTTGTCTCTTTTCCACCCACGTGCCTACGACAATGCAAAATCGTTGACACCTTAGTTAGGGAGATGGCAGAAATTTGGGCGAGATAGGGAGATATGCAGCGAGATGAAGACATGTCCATTCCATACTCCAACGTAGTTAAAGTATTAAGGATAGTTGCTTTGTCTCTTTTTCCACTCTTGAGCCTACGACAAATGCAAAATCGTTGACACCCTTATTTAGGGGGATGGCGAAATTTGGGCGAGATAGGGATATATGCAGCGAGATAGAAGACATGTCCATTCCATACTCCAACTGTAGTCAAAGTATTAAGGATAGTTGGTTTGTCTCTTATTCCACCCATGTGCCTACGACAAATGCAAAATCGCTGACACCCTTATTTAGGGGGATGGCGAAATTTGGGCGAGATAGGGATATATGCAGCGAGATAGAAGACATGTCCATTCCATACTTCAACTGTAGTCAAAGTATTAAGGATAGTTGGTTTGTCCGTTTGCCAACTCTTGTGCCTGTAAAAAAAAGCGAAATTGTTCACCAACAGTTAGTTAGGGTGGATAGCTAGCAAAATTTTACAAAATGTCAAATATCAATTGTACACCTGAATTTTTTATTTCATTTACGTTACATTTTTGTGAAAAAGATGTGATTGTCATTCAAATTCCAGATTCAGAAGACCTGGTGATTAACGGGAGTAAAATGTGGATAACAAACGGCGCCGAGGCTGATTGGATCTGTCTCCTAGCAACCACCAACGACGGCCTGTCCCATCGCAACAAGTCCCTCATATGCGTTCCCATGGATACGCCGGGGGTTACTGTGGCGAGGAAAAATCGATAAACTCGGTTAGACAATCAACTCGTTTCCCAAGGGTCGACTCAATTAGTGTTCCGTATCCCTAGGCAACCACTGTTCAGATACGGCTGAGATATTCTTTGAAGACGTGGTGGTTCCCGCTAGCAACGTAATTGGGGAGGAAGGACAGGGTTTTACCTACCAAATGATTCAGTTTCAACAAGAGAGAATGTGGGCAATTGCTAACGGTGAGTCCCTCTCTTCCCTCTACGTAATACAGTGGAACTGCTCTCTAAGGCAGTTGTGCAGGCTAGTTCAGTCACGTATCTCTAATCGTCGTCATGGTTTTAATATTCTCAGTCCTGTTGCCAATGGAGAGGGCCATACAAGAGACTGCCGAATACTGTCGACAGAGAAAAGCATTCGGTCAGAGTATCCTTGACAACCAGGTATATACGCATTCGCTCAATCGACAATTTTCATATTATATTTCTTCTTTTTGTCTTGTTCAGGTGGTTCACTACAGACTGGCAGAATTGGAGACGGAGGTTGAGCTGCTCCGCTCACTCCTCTACAGAACACTGGGTGGGCATTTAATGGAACACTGGGTGGGCATTCAATGGAACACATTCAATGGAACCTCTGAATAAGGGGGATGTTCTCTTGTCCCTTGGAACAAAGTATGTCCTTTGTAGAGAGGTGTCCTTTGTTCGGAGGTATATAGTACAATCCATTGCATTTCCACCAGTAACATGAGTAATCAAGAACCAAGCGCCTCTCTCTGTTCCCTAGGTCTCTATCTGAAAGGGGACACGATGTTACGAAGCTAGCCTCGATGGGCAAGTTGAAAGCCGGTCGTCTCGTGCGAGAAGTGGCCGACTCTTGCCTCCAGTTCTGGGGAGGGATGGGGTACACCAGCGAAGTGGAAATCAGTCGCATGTTCCGCGACGTGAGACTGGTGTCTATTGGTGGAGGGGCCGATGAGGTCATGCTCAGCATCATATGCAAACTATCAGGAACACTGCCAAGAGCCAAGTGAACTACAATTATAACAGAACAGTGCAATAATATTGACAGTTTTCCTTTGGTCTATGTATATACAGTTGTTTCTTGTGATTTTTACAATTTATAAGAAGCATGCTATAACCATACATTAGGCTCAATATTATACACACATGTTTTTACAATACACATACATTCTACAATGTGACGATTTGATTCATGTCCACATCATCATTTATCATGGCACGAACGCACGCTGTAGTTGCTGTACCTAATGCACATGCGCTCAGGTGTGGTTGCCATGGAAACTACCCGCACGCCAAACAGCAGGAGGAGGGAGTAAGGAAGGTTTTCTTTGGCTCCAGAATGAAGTGGAATCTCCTCTGACAAAGGCGGTTCGTGTGACAGCTGCTCTGGTCCTCAGAAACCTGTGTCGAATGGCTCCCTCCACTCACTGGTATACAACACCTCTCACCTGCTTTGTTTCTTCCTCTTTTAGTACATTTTATCCCAACACCCACATGTTCTATATACATGTATAATCCCTCTCTTACTTCATTACCCTCACTCCCTCTCTCCCAACAGTCAGATAAGGAGACATGAACACAGACTCAGTGAAGTGGCTCTGTCTGACAGAGAAGCTGCTCACGCCATTACAGAGTGTCTCACCTATTTAAACCTCCCTCCTCCTCCTCCTCCCTCTCTTGCTGCTAACCCTCATGATAACACTGTCACACATCATCAGTTGACTGAAAACTCATACAGCTCTCCCTAATGATTGTATTATACATTTCATCAGTCTTTCAACCTCAGAGAAAGCTGCATAAGGTTGTTCAAAGGCGTCTGTAGTTGTTTCTGTGTATATGCTAATCTTTAGGCTACTAGTTATGCAAGCTGGTATGGAGGGTGGTTTTATCAGCATGGGATGATTGTATAGTGCAACCTAATGTGGTTCTTTAGCTTACCTCTGTATTGTAGCTATGGTGATCTTGTACATAAATATAGTTAGCTTGGCTGTAGTGGTTATGCAAGCTGGTATAGTATGGTGGTTTTATCAGCATGGGATGGTGGTTCTTTAGCTTACCTCTGTTATTGTAACTCTTTAGCCAGGGTATCTTGTACATATATAGTTAGCTTGGCTGTAGTGGTGCATGCATTGCAGGGAGCCTGAACGCCTTCTGAGATGGACAGGTCTTTTCTGCTGGTCTTGTGTCTAGTGACACTGTCTAATGTACAGCTGGGACAGTCTCAATGTGATGGTAAGGGAATAGATAATACTTGGCATCACAATTTTGTCCTGCACAATGGATGTGTTTGCTGCAGTTGTGAGGATTGCTGCAGCTGTGCATGAAGTTGTAGGACCAGCTTTGGAGACTATGCAGAAAGACATGAAGAATATGAAGTCTGACATAGCAAGCCTCAGTCAAAAGGTTGATAATTTCACACAAGAGGTTGAGAGTGTATTTAGTTCTCTGAATGAATCAATGAGAGATGATTTCAGTGGTGTTGAGAGAGGGTTAAGTGGCACAGCAAACATGATATGTGACAAGATTGAGGAACATGACAATCAAATTACTACTCAACTGATGAGAATGAACCAGACACTGACAGAACAGATCGTTAATAACACTGGAGGGTCAAAATGTGGAGGAACGTGGGGTTGGAGACGTGCAGTCTACCTGGATATGACAGACCCCAACACCAACTGTCCCTCTGGCTGGAATGTGACTGGATACTCCAAGAGAACTTGTGGCAGAGTTAGCACTGGAGGTGAGACTTGTGACTCAGTCTTCTTCCCTGTCAGTGGAGGACCATACAGTCAGGTGTGTGGCAGGATCAGAGCCTACCAGTATGGAACTGCCTGATGCCTTCTTGGGTATAACAGTGGTGGACAAACTACAATTGACAGTGCCTATGTCAGTGGTGTGGCTGTAATGCATGGCAGTCCTCGACAACACATCTGGACATTTGCTAATGGAGCATGGAGAATACGATACAACATCCCCGTACAGCAACTGTCCATGTGACAATGGAGCTACATCCATCCCACCATTTGTTGGAGAAGATTACTTCTGTGAGTCAGGGTATGTAATCTGGCAGTGGATACATATTCTAACAGACTCCACTCCAATGACACTCTCTGGGATGGTGAAGACTGTCACTCCACCAGTACATGTTGCTCTTTCCACAATCCTCCATATTTCACCAAAACCCTCAACCAGACAACTAGCGATGACCTCGAGCTGAGAATGTGTCTATATAATCCCATACAATGACAACATAGCAGTGGAACTGGTTGAGTTGTATGTCAAGTAGCTGCATACTGTCCTTCGCTCTATATAATATTTGTTAGTACTGATTGTAGAAAAAGGCTCAAGTTGGGCTCAATATTATACACACATGTTTTTACAATACACATACATTCTACAATGACGATTTGATTCATGTCCACATCATCATTTTAAATTTATCACGGCACGAACGAACGCGCTGTATAGTTGTTGTACCTACTGCGCATGCACTCAGGTGTGGTTGCCATGGAAACTACCCGCGCGCCACACAACAGGATAGCGGATAGTGTATGACATATTAGAGGTATTCAGAGGTTTTTAAATGCTAGTGTTTAAAGATTAGCCAGTTAGTTCTTGTAATAAGTAAACGACTTGTACATAATTATACTGGCGCACATTATTAACAAAAATTGTCTCTTGTTAATTTAATATTAATTACATATTTTGTAAGGAGAATAGATTATAGTTTTTGGTAGCTATGACGCCCCTACAATAGAGTTGCCAAGGAGACAGCACAAGAATGCAATTTACTATTTACGATCCTGGCACTAACGATGACATCATCAGAGCCAGGAGAACGAAGACTGGTATTGTTGTTGCCGGGGCGACAGGAGGTTGGTACGGCAACAGTACGGGAAGGGGTAGCAATCTTGGTTTCCGCACGGCTGGATGCTCCGATCCTTCCCCATCAGCAACTGAGACTCGCTCCAATCCAGATCCAGCAGAAATGCATCCTTCAACTAGAGAGAGGGAGAGGAGAGAGAGCATTTGTGAGCGAGTGAGAGAGAGAGAGAAAGTTACAGACACCCAAATTTTATGCACACTTGCAACTGTACTGCTGCAATCAATGTGTGTAAGACACCATTTTTGCTCTTTGACTTGCTAGAAAGCTTCTTGCTAGAATTCTCACACACGCCCCGAAAGTTCCCACTATGCCACCTAAAACAGAATGAAACGAGGAGACATTGACAGTGATGTAATCATTACATCACTGATGGTGTCGATGACATCACGGTAGTTTTCGGGGTCGAGGGGGTAGAGTTCCTGGGGGTCAGTGTGCAGGTTGTAGAGGAGAGGGGGGAAGTGTTTGGTGACCGTGGCGTTGGACCTGCAGGCTTCGTCATGGTAACTGGTCGAACACGATCCACTGCATTATTGTGACAATAGAGGAGAGACACTATCAATATACAGTGGAGCCCCTCTCTAAGGACATAAGGACCCTTAAAGTGGATAAAATGTGCATGGAATATACAGTCAGCTGTGTTAGTAAGAGAAGAGATTGACAGTATAATTATAAGCGAGGGGGCATGGGAAAAGGGACCTATATGGCTGGAATGTGAAAATTTAGTTTTTGTGGTTTTTCACCCTCAAAAACTAATTTTCACATTCCAGCCATATTATAGGTCCCTTTTCCCATGCCCCCCTCACATAAGAGTATATACTCACCCGGCTGTGTAATAGTGTCCCTTAAAGTTCCTCCACCTAATGGCATACGGTCCAACCATCTCATCTGCATACTCTGGCAGGTAGGCAAAGAACTCTCTGTTGCTCTGTAGCGAAATGAAGAGTAGCACAAGCAGTTGAGGCAACAGAGTTCTATGCACTGTTGCAATGGTAGCAAAAGATGAGTGGAGCTTTGTGTCCAAGGGTGGCAAAGGTAGTGTGGTGTTTTGCAGCAATGAAGTGTTATAATTATGCAGGCTTTATGCAGAAGTAACGCAGCATGCACAGGACACAGACTATAGCAAGCACTTTATGCTCTGCTCATGTTCTGTTGCTGTCGACCTTAGCTCCTTTCTTGAATAGGATGGGAGCCATATCGACTCCGTCTATTGCCCTGTCCTGAGGGATTTGAGCTCCAGCCAGGTTGAAGATGGTTGGCAAGAGGTCCAGAGTAGAAGACAGCTAAACAGAAGAAAGAGGAGGAGGGGGAGAAGAGAAAAGGGAGAGAGAGAGAGAGAGATGTGAAAGCAGCAAGGGATCAAGGAGAGCCAAAAACAAGAGGAGACATTTGCTGTCAGTTTCCCCTCACCTGAGCTGATCTGCGGTGCTGAATCTTGCCGGGCCAGAATGCGATGCCCGGCACCCTCAGTCCTCCCTCCCAGGTCGAGGACTTCCCACACCTCAGCGGTCCAGACACTCCTCCCAGTACCCCATTCTCCAGTGCTGGACTGGAACGGAGACAGAAGCCACAGGTATATACCGTGCAGCTAGTTGCAAGAACTGGCTCACCGTTGTCAGATGTGAGGAAGATGAAGGTGTCGTTGGAGAGACCGAGACTTTTCAGTCTTGAGGATTTGACCAACCGAGTAGTCAATTTCTCTCTGTTGACATAGGAGAAGTTATTCTAGTAAACTTCACCAGCTTGAAGCATGTAATAGATGTGAATCGACTATTTAAAACACCTCAACTTATATTTTACCCTTTGACCAACGACGGCCCGTCCCATCGCAACAAGTCCCTCATATGCGTTCCCATGGATACGCCGGGGGTTACCGTGGCGAGAAAAATCGATAAACTCGGTTAGACAATCAACTCGTTTCCCAAGGGTCGACTCAATGAGTGTTCCGTATCCCTAGGCAACCACTGTTCAGATACGGCTGAGATATTCTTTGAAGACGTGGCGGTTCCCGCTAGCAACGTAATTGGGGAGGAAGGACAGGGTTTTACCTACCAAATGATTCAGTTTCAACAAGAGAGAATGTGGGCAATTGCTAACGGTGAGTCCCTCTCTTCCCTCTACGTAATACAGTGGAACTCTTCTCTAAGGCAGTTGTGCAGGCTAGTTCAGTCACGTATCTCTTATCGTCGTCATGGTTTTAATATTCCTCAGTCCTGTTGCCAATGGAGAGGGCCATACAAGAGACTGCCGAATACTGTCGACAGAGAAAAGCATTCGGTCAGAGTATCCTTGACAACCAGGTATATACGCATTCACTCAATCGACAATTTTCGACAATTTTCATATAATAGTCTTCTTTTTTTGTCTTGTTCAGGTGGTTCACTACAGACTGGCAGAATTGGAGACGGAGGTTGAGCTGCTCCGCTCCCTCCTCTACAGAACATTGGGTGAGTCCTCTACAGAACACTGGGTGGGCATTCAATGGAACACTGGGTGGGCATTCAATGGAACCTCTGAATAAGGGACACCTCGGGGGATGTTCTCTTGTCCCTTGGAATGGGGCAGAACAAAGTATAGCCCTTTCACACAAGAGGTTGAGAGTGTATTTAGTTCTCTGAATGAATCAATGAGAGATGATTTCAGAGGTGTTGAGAGAGGGCCTCAGAGAAAGCTGCATAAGTTTGTTCAAAGGCGTCTGTAGTTGTTTCTGTGTATATGCTAATCTTTAGGCTACTAATCTTATGCAAGCTGGTATGGAGGGTGGTTTTATCAGCATGGGATGATTGTATAGTGCAACCTAATGTAGCTTACCTGTTATTGTAGCCATGGTGATCTTGTACATATTATATAGTTAGCTTGGCTGTAGTGGTTATGCAAGCTGGTATGGAGGGTGGTTTTATCAGCATGGGATGATTGTATAGTGCAACCTAATGTAGCTTACCTGTTATTGTAGCCATGGTGATCTTGTACATATTATATAGTTAGCTTGGCTGTAGTGGTTATGCAAGCTGGTATGGAGGGTGGTTTTATCAGCATGGGATGATGGTATAGTGCAACCTAATGTGGTTCTTTAGCTTACCTCTGTTATTTAGCCAGGGCTATCTTATACATACATAGTTAGCTTGGTTGTAGTGGTGCATGCATTGCAGGGAGCCTGAACGCCTTCTGAGATGAACCGGTCTTTTCTGCTGGTCTTGTGTCTAGTGACACTGTCTAATGTACAGCTGGGACAGTCTCAATGTGATGGTAAGGGAATAGATAATACTTGGCATCACAATTTTGCCCTGCACAACACTGGATGTGTTTGCTGCAGTCGTAAGGATTGCTGCAGCTGTGCACGAAGTTGTAGGACCAGCTTTGGAGACTATTATGAAGAATATGAAGTCTGACATCTGACAGTCTGTCTTTCACTCTATATATTACTGCAGATTGTAGAAAAAGGCTCAAGTTGGGCTCAATATTATACACACATGTTTTTACAATACACATACATTCTACAATGTGGATTTGATTCATGTCCACATCATCATTTTTAATTTATCACGGCACGAACGAACGCGCTGTATAGTTGTTGTACCTACTGCGCATGCACTCAGGTGTGGTTGCCATGGAAACTACCCGCGCGCCACACAACAGGATAGCGGATAGTGTATGACATATTAGAGGTATTCAGAGGTTTTTAAATGCTAGTGTTTAAAGATTAGCCAGTTAGTTCTTGTAATAAGTAAACGACTTGTACATAATTATACTGGCGCACATTATTAACAAAAATTGTCTCTTGTTAAACATATTTTTAAGGAGAATAGATTATAGTTTTTGGTAGCTATGACGCCCCTACAATAGAGTTGCCAAGGAGACAGCACAAGAATGCAATTTACTATTTATGATCCTGGCACTAACGATGACATCATCAGAGCCAGGAGAACGAAGACTGGTATTGTTGTTGCCGGGGCGACAGGAGGTTGGTACGGCAACAGTACGGGAAGGGGTAGCAATCTTGGTTACCGCACGGCTGGATGCTCCGATCCTTCCCCATCAGCAACTGAAACTCGCTCCAATCCAGATCCAGCAGAAATGCATCCTTCAACTAGAGAGAGGGAGAGAGAGAGCATTTGTGAGCGAGTGAGAGAGAGAGAGAAAGTTACAGACACCCAAATTTTATGCACACTTGCAACTACACTGCTACAATCAATGTGTGTAAGGACACCATTTTTGCTCTTTGACTTGCTTCTTGCCAGAATTCTCACACACGCCCCGAAAATTTCCACTATGCCACCTAAAACAGAATGAAACGAGGAGACATTGACAGTGATGTAATCATTACATCACTGATGGTGTCGATGACATCACGGTAGTTTTCGGGGTCGAGGGGGTAGAGTTCCTGGGGGTCAGTGTGCAGGTTGTAGAGGAGAGGGGGGAAGTGTTTGGTGACCGTGGCGTTGGACCTGCAGGCTTCGTCATGGTAACTGGTCGAACACGATCCACTGCATTATTGTGATAATAGAGGAGTGAGACACTATCAAGCTTATAAATATACAGTGGAGCCCCTCTCTAAGGACATAAAGACACTTAAAGGTGATAAAATGTGCATGGAATATACAGTCAGCTGTGTTAGTGAGAGAAGAGGGTTAACCGAGAAGAGATTGACAGTATAATTATAAGTGAGGGGGCATGGGAAAAGGGACCTATTATGGCTGGAATGTGAAAATCAAGTTTTTTCACATTCCAGTCATATAGGTCCCTTTTCCAATCCCCCCTCACATAAGAGTATAATACTCACCCGGCTGTGTAATAGTGTCCCTTAAAGTTCCTCCACCTAATGGCATACGGTCCAACCATCTCATCTGCATACTCTGGCAGGTAGGCAAAGAACTCTCTGTTGCTCTGCAGTGAAATGAAGAGTAGCACAAGCAGTTGAGGCAACAGAGTTCTATGCACTGTTGCAATGGTAGCAAAAGATGAGTGGAGCTTTGTGTCCAAGGGTGGCAAAGGTAGTGCGGTGTTTTGCAGCAATGAAGTGTTATAATTATGCAGGCTTTATGCAGAAGTAACAAAGCATGCACAGGACAACAAATTATAGCAAGCACTTTACGCTCTGCTCATGTTCTGTTGCTGTCGACCTTAGCTCCTTTCTTGAATAGGATGGGAGCCATGTCAACTCCAGTCTATTGCCCTGTCCTGAGGGATTTGAGCTCCAGCCAAGTTGAAGATTGTTGGCAGGAGGTCCAGAGTAGAAGACAGCTAAACAGAAGAAAGAGGAGGAGGGGGGAGAAGAGAAAAAGGAGAGAGAGAGAGAGAGAGATGTGAAAGCAGCAAGGGATCAAGAACAAGAGGAGACAAGTCGATTTTGCTGTCAGTTTCCCCTCACCTGAGCTGATCTGCGGTGCTGAATCTTGCCGGGCCAGAATGCGATGCCCGGCACCCTCAGTCCTCCCTCCCAGGTCGAGGACTTCCCACACCTCAGCGGTCCAGACACTCCTCCCAGTACCCCATTCTCCAGTGCTGGACTGGAACGGAGACAGAAGCCACAGGTATATTATACCGTGCAGCTAGTTGCAAGAACAGGCTCACCCGTTGTCAGATGTGAGGAAGATGAAGGTGTCGTTGGAGAGACCGAGACTTTTCAGAGTCTTGAGGATTTGACCAACGGAGTAGTCAATTTCCCTCTAGATATAGGAGAAGTTATTCTAGTAAACTTCACCAGCTTGAAGCATGCAATAGGTGTGAATCGACTACTTTAAAACACCTCAACTTATATTATTTAACCCTGAAAGTTTGGACCAACTCAGTATTAGCTACCACGAGATATGGGAGAAAGGTTTCCTAGTCAAATCCATGCAAATTGTCATTTTTTTAAGACTTAGCTACCAAAATGTAGGTACAAGAGAATGTATAGCTATATATAATTATACCAGAGAATCTCCATAAGGTCCTCTGATGGAGGTATTCACAAATCTCTGTCCCGAGAACTGAGGACTGTGGGTGTGGTGGAACGCATAGTAGAGAGAAGAACGGGCTATTCTTTGCTGCAGAAGAAATAAAAAGTCATCACACGTTTGGTGATTTTCTTCCACGATGGTAGCTATAGTTATATCCTGTAAGGTTAGGAGGAGGAGCAAACCTGCTTTGTTTGTGATGAAGGATTTCGCAGCACTGAGCAGATTGTCAGAGAGAGTGGTGAGGTTTGCCGGTTGCTGGACGATGACCGGTCGACCGTTCCTCGTCTCGTAGATTGGACACGGCACGTAGCCTGGTGCCAGGAGGAGACAAGGACAGGGAGAGAAACGGAGCACAATGTTAGAAAGAAAAGAGGGAATGATTTAGCTATAGGTAGAATGGTTGGATAGACAGAAGAACAAAAAGAGAAAAATGAAAGCTGATGTGTATTTGTAACTCAATATATATAGAGGAAGAGAAAGTGACAGGAGGAGGAATACAAGAGGGGTGGAGATAAGCTCAGGCAGTGAGAAAAAGACAGAAATCGTTTGGATGGCATTACGTGGACTTCCATCAGCAACACAGTGTCCATTGGGATAGTAGCAGATGTAGCACGGGCAGTCACTGTGCGAGTATGGTATCCCCTGCAATGAGACACCGCACAATTAGTTAGGAAACTTCCGACTTCTTTGGACACAGAGCAACAAGAATAGTATCAGAGCAAGCGATTCATTACATGGAGAATTAGTTAGGAAACATCTGACTTTCTTTGGACACAGAGCAACAAGAATAGTACCGGAGGCAAGCGATTCATTACATGGAGAATTAGTTAGGAAACATCTGACTTTCTTAGGAACACAGAGCAATATATAATGTTAGTCCCGACAAAAGAGTGACAGAGTTAGTGATTCGTTGTACATAAGTAGGCCTGAAAGACAACCATTCAAACTGTCATTTTTCCATTCTGGGAAAATGCACTTGCTCAATTTGCAACGGGCTCAGTGGAAATGTCAAAGTGTTCATTTTCAAGGCCGTGTTGCTCGGCAAGCAGACATTGAGATCCAACAAATTTCACCCATTTCCCAGCTACTGTAACTCTACAGCAGGAGCTATTGTAGCGGGACACCCAAAGCTGTACTTGAGTCAGAGAAATGACAATCTTTTTTGAATGTAGCTTAGCTAAGGCTAGGAAGGTTACATTCAAGGTTGTAGCAGTTGAATTAGTCAATGGATCCGCGATGCTTTGTTAACAGACGCAGCTAGTCTGTGACTGTATAAATGCAGTGTAATGTCACCTAAGCAAAGGGCTACTGTGTGTGTTCCTCATTTCAATTCCACAGATCTGAAGTAATAAACATGCGTGTGTCGTACCACCCTTCACGAATCAGGTTGGAAAGTGAGGATCAAAAGGTGGCCAGTTTGTCAGTTGTAGTAACAGATCTATAGCTCTTTTCACAATAGTTGTGTGTGAGAATAGCACGAGTGTGAAAGGAGAGGGTGAGAGGTGCTGACCATATAGTAGTCGAATCCGTGGTTATGAGGCAAGTATTGAGCATTCTCGACCAACGCCCTGTGTGTAAGATATCACGTGAAGAAGTGTGTGTGTGTGAGAAGAGGTAGAAGGCACAGTGAAGAGAGGGAGAGAGAAGGCATGATGACTGAGCGTGAGAGAGAAAAGCAGATTCTGACCAAATGCCATTTGCCAACAATTCCCGACGAGTAGCCGACTTCTTTTAAACCTTCTGCAATTGTCGTCTCATTGAAAGGTAGACCTGTCATTCAAAACCCTTATTTTAGGAGGTGTCTCGAGAATGATGTAATGGTGACATCACCTCCGAGATCAGTTGGGTCAAACACTCCGGGGTAGATACCACTCCGAGTTTGGTAGCGTCCGGTGAGCAATCCAGCTCTGCATGGACACAATGCACACGGGCTGACAATCATGTGATGGATCACATGATGTCATGTGACCTGGAGGGACTACAGACTGGACTGTTGGAGTAGAAATTTGTCAGGATCAGTCCGTTGTCGGCCATATTCTGAATGTTTGGGGTGAACGATGTTGGGTGCCCATATGTAGAGAGGTCGCCGTAGCCAAGCTGTCGGGGAGGAGGAGGAAGGAGGGATTAATAGCGGCTTTTGCTTGAGTTCAAGAAAAAGCTGGATGGATGGATAAGTCCTTATGCATCTTTGGTGAAAATATCTTAGCCTAACTCACTAAATCTGAAAAATATCAATACACAAGGCGAATAAAGATTAAAAATAATAATTATAGAGTTTGTTAACTGCAGTGTTCTCGATTATTATTGTGTGATGTACTCTGATATCTAATGCACTCTCTTTTCAGACTCACATCATCGACATAGAAAATGATGAAATTCGGTTTACTGGAAGCTTCTCCTGTACTGCAGCACATCCATCCACCGCACACAAGTAGCAAACCGATCTTCACAGCAAGATTCATCGTCGTTCTAGCTACACCTGTTCCCACTCCTCGGAGCTCGAAAATCTGTTCTTTTATACCGAGAGCGGGAGTGGAGAATTAGCATCGCACCGCTCTGCTTGCTATCACATCCATTGACGGGTTGTGGGTAGTGTACTGGCTATGCACTGACAGTGTAGGGACAACTCTTGTACGTAGTGAAAGAGAAAGATGTAGATGTACAACACGTGCCAGAGTGCCTTTGCCTGTTACACCTTTACGTATGGGGTTGAGGATTTGACCGTGTACATTCTTGCTCGGCGACTAACCATGGAGTTGAACAGGTTACTTATCTACAAAGCACGTCAACGGATAGCGCCGCAGAGCCTAATCTTTCTGTACACGCCAGATGTCGTCAAATTGAAGATTAATACGTGTAGTAATTATCTGCAGATCATGCTTTTTTATCTGCAGAACATAAGAATTTTGGATTGCGAACCACTTCTGAGATTTCGAGAATTTAGTTACCACCACACAATGACTTTCAAACCATCGGAAATGCAATAACAATTTGTTGCGTGTACGCCATTTACAAAAATTCGATAATAAAACAGGAATGGCACGATAGTGAATAGTCTGTGTGTGAGGGTAATAGAGATCAACCATTAGAAGACAGGGGGAGTTTGTCATTATTGGGGTCCAGCCTGCATGATCAGTGTTATATTGTCGCCTCTTAGCAGGATCCGACCTGTAGAAGAAAGGGAGAGAGGGAGAGGAGACAGGTCTATTGGGAGATGTGTTTGAATTCAAACCGACCAATCTGACGTCTGAAATCTTTCTTCATGTAAACTTCCACGGCATCGTCCATAACTAGATTCATGAACTCATCAAAACCCTACAAATAGAGGGGGACAATTTTTGGCGTCGAAAAAATCCAGTTTGTGTAAAAATGTCACTTACTATGATGATGCCTTCTATTCTCATTGTCCCTCTTCCAAACAGCCATACCTGGACCCGGGCTTTCTGGAATAGAGACGTGAATCAAGGTTAGGGGGAAAATTTTGCGGTTCAAAAACTCACATTCTGTAGGTATCTGAAGATGAGGTTCTGTCACGTGATCCGTTAAGGAAGTAATTACACCCAGCAGGCAATTTTACGAACTGGTACAGTGCGCTATAATTGGAATCTAGCACCTATCTACGAAGCTAGGGAGAATCGGAGAAAATGTGAAGGATACGATGGGTTGGACCATCACTTTCTGCACTTTCTGCGGTCGATACGCCATCTCTATTTTCTCTGCTAACCGGGAAACGTTCTTCTAAGACTTCGGACACCCAACGCAGAACGAACGATTCGCGGCAATGCGGTGGAGGTCAAAGGTCGCGCTCCGTAAATTAAACCGTTCTTGTCCGTAAAATCTTTAAGGTCGAAGGTCAGTTTGTATCGCACGACGTTTGCGCTCGCGAGGGACATGGAGAAGCCGCCGATCGAGCTGGTGGTGCAGGCCTTGGAGACATTCTCGAGACACCACGACCCCGCCGAGCAGCAGAAGGCCTCCAAATGGCTGGAGCAGCTGCAACGCTCCGTGCGTGAGACCGCGCGGCGGGCGACAACTGTACTGCGTAGCTGCGGTTCTAATAAACGCGCACCGTCTCTCCACCGTTTCTCAGGTGCACGCGTGGGAGGTGGCCGATCAGTTGCTGGCTCTGAAGGGAAGCCAGGAGGCAAGCTACTTTGCAGCCCAGACGATGCAGTCGAAAATCCGGCACAATTTCGACGAACTTCCGCCGCAAACGCACACTGTTAGTTAGCCACACCTCCTCCGTACATTTCCTCACTCGGGATTTTCTCACTCCAGGCATTGAGAGATTCGCTGCTCAATCACTTACAGAACTTTTGCACAGAACACCACACAATCACCCGACAGGTTAATACACACACACATACCCCTTTCCCCATTTGCCCTCATATCGCCACCATTGTCATCCTCTCTCCCTCCCCTCCTTCTCCCACCAGCTGGCAGTAGCCCTGGCTGATCTGGCGTTACAAGTGTCCCAATGGAACACAGTCGTTCCAGACCTCATCCAACGGTCAGTAAAAGCTGTAATTTTGTTGGACTAAAACATTTGCCGAACTGCTGGTTTTTAAAAATTCAACCTTATCCTCCTCTTTTCTTACAGGTTTGGTAGCAATGTGTCGACAGTTGGCGTTCTGTTAGATGTTCTCATTGTCCTACCTGAAGAGGTTTGCCCTCCATCTCTGGAATCTCTCTCTAAAGACACCTCTTAGATGAGGACACCTCTCTAATAAGGACACTTTTTATTTCCCCAAGAACTGTTCTTACATGCAATGTACCCGGTCACCTCACTAATATGGACACTTTCTTCTGTCCCATTGGTGTCTGGATTAGAGGAGTTCCACTGTATAACTACTCTCCCTCTCTTTCTCACACACTCAAAGACTTACAACAGAAGTCTGCGTCTGGGGGAGACAAGGAGAAAGGAACTGAGACAGCTCCTCAGCCACAGCTGTACCGACGTACTCTCTCTCCTCGTCGCATGCCTCAACAGTTACCACGACAACAACCTCCTCACAAAGGCACGTCGTAAATGCTGCTAAATCTTCAGTCACGCCAGAATTTTCCTCCCCTCCACCAGTTGTACAACTGCCTCGGGAGCTGGGTCAACATGGGCACATTCCCAGTCCACGAACTGGCACAGAGTCCTCTGGTCCAGGCTCCATTCCAAACCCTGGTATATACCGCCATTCCCTTCCACCCATACCCCATTCCCCTTACACCCACACCCCATACCCCATACCCCATTCCCCTTACACCCATACCCCATTTCACTTTCACCCATACCCCATTCCCCCATTCCCCTTAATTACCATACAGTCCCTACCTCATTCCTCCATAATCCATACCCCATGCCCCATTACTCCATACTCTGTTACCCCAGACCCAGCTGGAAGTACCGTCGATGCTGTATGACGCGGCGACAGACTCCATATGCGCCATGTTGTACGTCTGTGAAGACGTCCAGGCCTTCTTCCCTCTAGCTCTCGTCCTCAAATCACAAGTGGAACAGATGAGACCTCTCTTTCAGGCAGCTGTCCAGATCGAGGACTCTGACAGGTGTGTGACAGGTCATGTGGCTATTAGTATGGATCATGTGACACTTCGGTGATATGATTGGTCCGTAAAACGTGTTGCATGAACATTTAAGTTGTCTACGTAGGCGTGACAGGTCATGTGACTATTAGTCTAGATCATGTGACACTTCGGTGGTATAATGGGTCTGTGAAAATTTTTCATATTATTGTGTGCAACACATAGACAGACCGTTCACAATAGAGTTGATGATACTTTTCAAAGTTGCACTTCTCCCTCCCTCTCTCCCTCCCTCCCTCCCTTCGTAGGTCTATATGTCTCTGTAGGATATTCACAGAGATGTGCGAGTCCTTCCTCTACTACTCTCACCATCCACCCAAACTCACAAGTGGGTGATCTGAGGGTTCTGGAGTGGCTACTGGAGTGTGTCGCCCACCCCGAATACGAGGTACCTACTTACCCTCTCCATAATCACATTTCACGTTAATTGTATATACACCTTTTTCCTTTTTTCAGGTGGCGGAAATAACCTTTAACCTGTGGTACAGACTAAGTGAAGAACTGCTGAAGATGGAGTGTGTCGAAAACGTGAGGATCTTCAAACCCTACATCACCAAACTCATCAGCCATCTCTGTGTCCACTGTCGCCTCGACGAGGACGTCAACAAGGTGGGTGTGGTCTCGGTGGTCGTCGTGGTAACAAGCCCCTCCCCCTCTCGTCAGGACACGGTGCCGGGAGAGAAGGAGGAGTTTGGGCAGTTCAGAAAGACAGTGAAGGAGGTTCTGCGCGACGTCATCTTTATTGTAGGATCGCTGGAAGTCTTCGGAGAGGTTTGTATAATTAGTACCTTGTTACCCTGCTTCAGATAAATCATTCCTGTTGTCTCTCTCTCTCTCCCTCTCCCCCTCTCCCTCTCTCTCTCCTCTCTCTCTCTCGTCCATAGCTATATTCAAATATATGTAAACCGAACCTCTCCTGGAACGAGAATGAAGCGTGTCTCTTTGTCATGCACGCAGTCGCACCATCCATCAGGACGTGAGTTGCCGACCCTGTCCTGTTAAACATGTCCTAATAATACGTGTCCTGAATGTTTACACGTATTTGAAATGATTGTGTCCTGATTTTCCTACCAATAGAGATGAGTCAAAACTACTACAAATAGCAGTGCCAGTCCTTCTGTCCATACCTCCGGACACCCACTGTGCCGTAAGTCATACTGGAATCATTACGTTCTTGTATCATTTCATCTTTTTCCTTTCACTCACACACATTGCAGGTAAGAGCTACAACCTTGGATCTGATTGGAGAACTTGCTGAATGGATCGACAACCATCACGACGTACTAGGTGTGTACCCAACATTATTCATTCCTATTCCCCCAAACTTCATCTGTCATTCTCCACATTCTGTCATTCTCCCATACCACATTCTGTCATTCTCCACATTCTGTCATTCTCCGATGCTTCATTCTGTCATTCTCCCATGCTTCATTCTGTCATTCTCCCATACTTCATTCTCCCTTGCCTCATTCTGTCAATCTCCCTTACCTCATTCTGTCGATCTCCCATACCACATTCTGTCATTCCCCCATACCTCATTCCCTCGTTCCCCAGACACAGTACTCCAGTTCATTCTGGACGGTCTCAAGATCCAAAGCGTGGCGTCTCACGCCGCGAAGGCAGTCCAGAAAGTCTGTCAAAAGTGCAGAAAAAGAATGGCTCCTCACTTTGACGGCCTCCTGCAGGTTCCAATTCCACATTCCTCATGTTTCCATTCCGACTATCCACATACACCCATGTTCTCATTCACCCATTCCCACGTTCCAGATAATCCAGTCTGCGGACCAGCTATCGGTGTCCAACGATGCGATAGTTGGACTCCTGAAGGGAGCTGCGGAGGTCCTGTCTCAGCTGCCACACGACAAGGTCACAGCTGGTATGAGAGGCCTGGTCCAGCTGCACATCACCCCTCTTCTCGAGGTTGGAAGATTTACATTCTGTTTGTCTTTGACTTGCTCTGTGCTTTTCCTTCTTGACTGTACGTTTGAATACACACCTTAACAACATGTTGTTTTTCCCCTTCGCACCATCTCATTCTGCCCCACCCCCCCTCCCCCCTCTCGCTACCAGCTGACCCAGAACTCCCACCTGGGTAAGGCGGGGACGTCAGGTGACCCAGCTCTCTGGATGGACCGACTGACAGCCCTGTTCAGATCTTGTTCCATCGAGCTGGACGGTGGGCAGTCTCACCCGTGCCAGCCCGTCGTCGAAGAAGTAAGACTTACCGGCAGAACTAGTTCCAGAGATTTGTTTACCAGGCCACAAACAGCCCCCTAGCAACAGATTTAGATGGTTCTAATAAGAGCACACCCACTGTTTGGACCTCAAGGCAAACATGATGACCAAAAACGTGAACGTAGTAAAAAACTTACCTCCTTTCATCCTTTTTCTTTGCAAAATATAATTGAGTTTTTGTGTGTTTTTCCAGCTGTGGCCAGTGATAGCTGCCGTGGTAACGACATACCAGTCAGATGACAAGATAATGGAGCGGACGTGTCGCTGCGTTCGGTTCATTCTTCGCTGTCTCGGCAAATACTCCTACTCCATTCTCACCTCTCTAGTTGAAATAGTGCGTCTCTCTATTTCTTACTTCAGTTTCTTATCCTCGTTCACCATTCTTCCAATCTACTGTGCACAGTCCTTTTTGACACTCTTTTTACACATCGCACTTCCTATGATGCGCCACTTTTTAATCCTGTCCTTACATCCCTAACCTCTCTCCCCTCTCTCCATATATAGGCCATCCAGGTTTACAAGAGCCACCACCAATCATGTTTTCTATATCTCGGATCCATCATAGTCGACGAGTTCGGTTCCGACCCAAACTACCAACAGGGTAATGGAAACTTACTCTCGCCCTCTTCCTTATTCGTATTGCCCCTTCGCGCCTTGCTGCTTTGCCACGCTGTGAGGATAGAATCCGTTTTTTATCTTCGTGGCACGGCGCGACTGGGGCAATGCGACATATTGTGAACCTAGCCTAAACCCTACCTCTTCCTCTCTCCCCTCCCCCTCCCCTCCCCTCCTCACTCAGGTCTCCTGTTCATGTTGGTAGCCTTCGCGGAGGTGTCATTTCCACTACTCAGCGGTCCAACTGGTCTCATCGATAATCCTGACACCATCGACGATATCTTCCGACTCTGCTCACGGTCCGTTAAAATTTTACTGCCTACCCTGTCAAATTTGATTGGCCTATATACCTCAAGCTATTTTTTTGCTCCCGTGGACCATGTCACAATTAATATTTTTACTGCCTTTCTCGCGATTTTTTCGATTTTTAGTGCTGTCCTCCCAATTTTACTGCTTCTTTTCAGGTTTATTCAACATGTGCCGGAGAAATTTTTGGGGTCGCCCGTTGCGCCAGCTAGCATTCAGTGTGCCCTGGCAGCCAGTGTGCTGGACCACCGAGATGCCTTCTCTAGCGTGATGAAGTTTTTTAGAGATTTGCTGACTCTCGGCAAGAACGATGACTTGGTGAGTCCAGAGAGTAGGAGGTCCCAGGGAGGGATATGGAGGAGAAAGATAGTGTGTGTGTGTGTGTGAGGAGGGAGGGAGGGAGGAGAGAGACGAGAGAGAGAGTTAGTTTTGTGTTTGCAGATCGAGGCTGACAAAATGCAGAGACAGGCTGTTGTGAGCTCATTCATTGCAGAACACGGACCAACAATTATGGACCGTAAGTTTTCCAAATCCATTTCTCTCGTTGTTCGTATAATCTCCTTCTCCCCTCCCCTCTCTCTCTCCCCTATAAGGCCTGGTGCAAGGATTTGTAACCCTGCCAACGTACATGTTGACTGAATCGACTGAAGTGCTCTGGACGTTTCTCGAACAATCAAAAGAGGTACAAATACACGGAGTGGCCTTGTGGCATTAAAATTTTTGCGACTCAGTATAATAATAATATAGCAAGAAAAGTTACAATTTGCACTACGCCTAGTGCTAGATGTTGTGATAAGGACTTCCTGTCCAATACTGATGCCAGTGCAGCCCGCAGCCCACAGCTCAGAATACAGCGTATATTCCTAGCACCGGGTTGTTTGAAGTTGGACTATCATACTGTATCATCTCACTAGGTGTGCATGTCACTGCTCCAGTCATCCATCGAGAAGTTGCCAGTTCGAAGTACGATGAAAGTGACGGCAGAACAGCAAACCACCATCATACTCTCTGTCTCTAGGTATGTATATATGCTTTTTGTTCTTCAAATGTATGGCTATAATGCTGGGGCTTTTTGTACCCTGTGCGACAGGTGTGATGATGTCAACAAACTGTATCCCGTCGTCAAGGACCTCGCCAGGCTGTACAGATGATACATGTTACCATGACAACCCCCGGGCAACGTCTACTGACACTCAATTTTGCGCGGACCAAACTATTATATCCACTTTTTTTCACTTTTTGTGTTCTCATGACCTTTTGCATCCAACATGTTCTAAAATAAAATTTACAGTGAAAAATTACTTATCTGAAAAAAATTAATGCATGCATAATGCAAAATAATGCTTCTTGTTAATACACTTTAGTATAATGGCAACAGTGATCATACAAACGTATAATGAATGGGATAATAATAATAATTATGCAACAGTGATCATACAAACACGTATGACGACACAGTATTATGCAATTACATACACACATAAACAGAAGTACTGTTGTCTAGTTAGGCTGTCCGTGAGCAGCGAGACCGGCTGTGGAACGAGCCTTCATTATGGTGGCTCTGGCCATGAACTGCTTCCTAGATAATTCCCTCACGTACTGAGTTAGAGGGGGGAGGAATGATGTAATGCCACAAAAAGTATGGTTAATACGTCCACTGTTAAAGCGAAACACCTGCTTAATACGAACCACTTTGAAATCCCCAGGCATTATAACACTAATACAACTAGCTACTGTAATAGCGAAATTCCTTTTAATATGAACATTGATGATGGTCCCCTGGAGTTCATAATTAACGAGGTTCGACTGTAGATCTGATACCTTCAAGAAGACTTCGAGTTCGATGACTCCCTTCCTGAGGGCCTCTCCCAGATAGTAGACGGTGTCTTCGACCGCATTCTCCTCCGCATACAGCTGCAGGATCCTGTCCATTGTGATATTGAAAGTTTATGCATCAGACATAAAGGAAATCTCTGATCAATGTGGACGCTTCTCAAAGGACTGAAATTATTAAGACACGCTCTAAGGACACCCCTGAAATGAGGACACCTCTCTAATAAGGACACCCCTGAAATGAGGACACCTCTCTAATAAGGACACTTTTCCCCCCAAGAACAGATCTTGCTTGAAAATTTAACCCCTGAATTAAGTACACCTCACTCATATGAGCGCACTGCTGATCCACCGCAGGTATATATGTATAACCACAGACAAAGGTATATTAATAATGATGCACTGACTGTTCATATAGGGGAGTGGTAGCAGAGACAGCCTCATCAACGTTGACGTCGTCAGGCTGGGCTCTGAGGTACTCCAGTAGGGACTCCAACTGTGCATTCTTGTCTTTCATTACCGTGATACTCTGGTCTACCTCACGCTACAGAGAGAGAGAGAGGGAGAGAGAGAGGAAGAGAGAGAGAGAGAGAGAGAGGGAGAGAGAGAGAGGGAGGAAGAGAGAGAGTTGGAGACATTATGCATTACCTCTTTTTTCTCCATTTCTTCCATCATTTCGTTGATGCGTCTGCTGCCGTCTTGCAGCTCTTTCTGCGTCTTCTGAAGTACAACCATCTCCTTCTACAGACACAAACAGTGAAACTGAAACTGGTCATAATGAAAGTGAAAATTAAGGGGCACCCCCTACCTCTGCCTCGTTGAGGACAGCTGTAACATTTCTGCGGATCTTGTCTTCGACTGCAGTTTCAAGACTTTGCCGCTTTATTCGCTCCGATTCCTAAATTTTGGAATCCAAAAAATTTTAATGCTCAAAAATTCAATGCTCAAAATTTTAAAAGGTGTACCTCAATTTGTCGTCGTTCCTCCTCGGCTGAAATGCTGTTGCTAGCGGCAACGGCGCCGGCTGCCATGGCGATGGACTGGGTGGAGGGAGGCGGAGGATGAGGAGGCGAACTCACTGGCGGTTGTCCTGGAAACTGAGCTGTTGGGAGGTATAATTATGAAAGCTGATGTTGGGAAGATCTTGTGCAATACGTAACTACAGTAGAACCCCTGAAATAAGGACACCTTTTCCCCAAGAACAGTTCTAAATTTAACTCCTGATATAAGGACACTTCACTAATATGGACACTTTCTTCTGTCTCATTGGTGTCTGGATTAGAGGAGTTCCACTGTATAATGCTCAGGACACCTCACTAATATGGACACTTTCTTCTGTCCCATTGGTGTCTGGATTAGAGGAGTTCCACGGTAAGACAATGTGACATGAAGTTATACCATGGTGGCCAAGAGGGTAGGGAGGTGGTTGGCTTGGCGACACGGACATTGTGGGCGGAGTCTGCTGGTATCCAGAGTAAGGGACTGGCATTGACGATCCCCCGGAGGAATATGGGGTGGGGTACCCTGTGGAGTGGAGTAAAAAACTGCGTCTGACATGTCACAGTTTGGAGTAAGGCAGAACTCATCACAGGTAAAATCATTAACCCCCTTCACACTAAAATGCATCCACACTGTTTTGTGAATCATCTTTAACCCCTTTCACACTGTTTAGTTAATCATTACCCCTTTTCCTTTACACACTAGCGATAACAATAACCCCTTTCCCACTGTATTATTCAGAGGGGCTCACCAGGGTACTGCTGCGGTGGCATGCTCTGCCCAGGAGGGTAGCTGCCGGGAGGGAAGGGGTTAGGCGAGCGGTAGGAGGTCGGGGGTTGCATCTGGGGCGGAGGCTGCCATTGTGGTTGAGCCTGTTTGGAGTACACCGGACATCGATCGGCAAACGTGGCACACAGGATTTGCACCAGCGCTGTGAGGTCAGAGGCACCCTGGGAGAGGAGGAAGAGGAGGTGGAGTGACAATTGAACTCCTCTAATCCGGACACCATTAGATAGAAGAAAGAGTCCAAATTGGCGGTATCTGGTTAAATTGTATGAAATAACCAATTTTTTGAGAAAGAAAAGGTGTCCTCATTAGAGAGGTCTCTCTCTCTGAAACTCACTGATTTCCATTCAGTGAGATAGGGCAGGTAGACTATTCCATTGGTGTCCACGTATTGACTGGGTTGTATCGCCATCCCCGTGGTAGGGGTGACGTAGACGATGGGTGGATGATGGGGGTGTGTCAATTTCAGCCACATCACAATTGGAATATTGTATACCGTTCCTATATGATGAGAGAGAGTGAGGGGGTAAATACTAAAAGACAGCAGAAACGTGAATCTTACCTTTGATCTTGACGGGAATGGTGCCAGTCAGCGGGACTAGTTTTTCCGACGTCCCATTGCTGTACACTGTGAGGAAAGGGTTAAAATTAGCAGCAGGCTCATCTAACCATACACATCCATGAATGAGTTGGAACGCATGTGCGTGTGTGAATGGAAACGTGAGTGTATGAAAATGTCGGCGTGTGGAGGAATGGAAACATGGGGGGTTGGAGGAATGGGAATGTGTGAATGGGTACCAAATTTCTTTGGATCCTGAATCTTCAGGGACGTGAAGTTTGAAATGAGGGCGTGGACATCTCGGCTGGCTTGATCAGCGTTACGGTACTAGAGAGGGAGAGAGAGAGAGAGATTGGAAATAGGGAGAGAGGAAGGACAAAGAGAAGGGGAGAAAGAGAGAGAGAAGAAAAAGAGAGAGAGAAGGGGAGAAAGAGAGAGAGAGAGAGAAAGAGGAGGAGAGAAAAGGGAGAGAGCAGGCAAGGGAACAGACAGACACAAACATCAACAGAACGTGTATCGTTTCGTTGGTCCAGTGAAACCGTTTCCCAGGCGACTCACCCCGGTCAGTCTGTTCTTGCAGTCTCTGATGCTCAGACTCATGACTTCAGATCCCCTTCCTCCGCTCACGTCTCTTTCAGAATTTCCTTGCCTTCTCGAAACGACTCGAGAAAACACGGAGAGCAGTTATGCTGAGCTATCAAAGTGGGCGTGACCCGGAAACATTACATAATCACGTGTTTATCATTACGCAGCAGGGCGTATGCGCATGCGTAAATTGAAAATACGCGCGTGCGCTAAATACACAAGTCAAAAATAAAAAATATTGTGGCTGTTTACATGACTAAATGCTCACAAGAATTGGTACTCTGAAGACTGTCTTCATTCGGGGTGATTCCACTTGCCCCATTACCCGATTGGACGGCCCGATTCGGAGAACCTGGTTCCACCAATATTGCATCATCATCAGACTGTGCAAGAAGATCCACAGATGGGACAGCATGGGTGCCTCTACCTCTCGATCCTTCAGGTTCGGTTGTATCACCAGATGGGGCTGCGCAATTGCTCGATGGGATAGCACTGCCTTCGGGGCTACAAACAATGGTTTCCATGTCGACAATCGATGCGAATATCGTTGGGGGCGGGCGGATGACGAGAGATTTGAGGTCGTCTGGGAGATCAGGACAGGCTCCGAGCTGTCGGCATAGCACCTCGGCCAGCTGGAGGATCGGCTCTAGCTGCATCTTCTTTGACAGACTGTTGATATGCTGAGATGTGGAAGAGAGCACAGCGCTGAAACATCGAGTGTATTTATTTAATATATCCCACAAAAAGGAATCGAGATCGTCACTTTCTCACTCTTATTCTACGCCATTGTTTTGATAATGGCGTACTTCTGTGTCAGTCAATACAGGCTAAATTTACATAGGGTCCCGTGTAAGAATGCCTTTAGGAAATGTAACCTTTAAATTATGTTGCCACATTCACTTTTAAAATTGTTTGTTCGTGCTTGCCTGGATTTCTAAGCCTAGACCAGTCACATATGAGTTGCTGAAAGTGTGTGCTGAGTGTTAATGTTAGGATCTTCTCTGTACCTGTAGGATGTCGCTGAAGTCATGTGCAGGATTGTGCAATCCTTCCTTCTCCATCTCCAGAATCGCCAGCGCAATGAACAGGGCGTAATCAGGAGATAGGTAGCCTGTCCAGATCACCTGATAGTCACATGGAGGTCACATGACACACAGCATGGAGACATACATGTTGCAAAACTAGGGCGTGTAATGAGGTTACTGTACTTTCAATTCAAGGAGAAAAATGACAAGAAGCAAACAAGAAAGTAAACACAAACACAAGGGTAAACAAAGGAGTAAACAACAACAGTAAACAGACCTCCCACAGTCTCATGAGGACGGGATACTCAAACTCCCTCTTGAAGTGGATCAGTAACCATCGGAAACAGAAGTACAAGTTGTTTGTTTCTTTGCTCTCTGCGGCAGATAAAATGGCCTCACTTAGTAAACAGAATCTTTATTGCTAGTAAGTCAATTGCATAAACAGTCAAAACTTGCTAATTTAAGAAGCGTACCCCCTTCCCCCAAATATCTAAATATAGGTGTCAACGAT